TGCTGTTCTCTTGGAACATCCCACCCTTGCCTTCTCCCACAGAGTCCACAAGTCTGTTCTATACATCTGAGTCTCTTTTTCTGTTTTGTATATAGGGTTATCGTTACCATCTTTCTAAATTCCCTATATATGTGTTAGTATACTGTAATGGTCTTTATCTTTCTGGCTTACTTCGCTCTGTATAATGGGCTCCAGTTTCATCCATCTCATTAGAACTGATTCAAATGAATTCCTTTTAATGGCTGAGTAATATTCCATGGTGTATATGTACCACAGCTTCCTCATCCATTCGTCTGCTGATGGGCATCTAGGTTGCTTCCATGTCCTGGGTATTATAAACAGTGCTGCGATGAACATTGGGGTGCACCTGTCTCTTTCAGATCTGGTTTCCTTGGTGTGTATGCCCAGAAGTGGGATTGCTGGGTCATATGGCAGTTCTATTTCCAGCTTTTAAAGAAATCTCCACACTGTTTTCCATAGTGGCTGTACTAGTTTGCATTCCCACCAACAGTGTAAGAGGGTTCCCTTTTCTCCACACCCTCTCCAGCATTTATTGCTTGTAGACTTTTGGATAGCAGCCATCCTGACTGGTGTGTAATGGTACCTCATTGTGGTTTTGATTTGCATTTCTCTGATAATGTTTTCTTTTTTGGTGGGGAGGAGAGCCATACAGCAGGAGGGATCTTAGTTCCCTAACCAGGGAGCAAACCTGTGCCCCCTGCACTGGGAGTGTGTCTTAATCACTGGACCACCAGGGAAGTCCCATAAAGTGTTTGTTAAATGAATAAATAAATGACTAGGTCAAGTCCTTTTTTTCATTCCTCCCTATCTAGCATTTAGCTAGTCCATTGGCCACGCCCCTGAGACTTGACCACGCCCCAGGAACACTAAGCAAGGGGCGTCGCTTGCCGGCCCCACCTCTCGGCTGAATCGGGACAAACCATTTCCATTCGTCGTACCGGGTAGGGAGGCCGGAGAGAAAATCTCTGGCGTGTAAAGGATGGAAGCTGCTCTTCCCTTTCCCTGAGAAGTGCCCGTAGATCCCTCCTGAGGTGTGAGTGTGAGCTATGGCACCGTTGCTAATTCGGGGTTGCGGGCCCACTCACGCTGCGGAGCCTTAGATTGGATCCTCCCTCAGCGCTGCGTTGGTGCCGGCCGGCCTGGTCACGCGGGCGGCAAGATGGCGGCCCCCAGAGCGCTGTAGCAGTGTCGCGGTTGGTGAAGTGTTGGTGGCAGCGGCCGCGGAGCGGGCGGTCCGGTGGATCCTCCGATCTGGTAACTCACTGGGGTGTTCCGGAGGCGGGGGGGACGGGGAGGACGCCTCACTGGGGTCCCGGCGCTGGGATTCTCTCGCTGGGGAGTAGAAACGCCTCCCTCTGGGAGGTCCCGGCGAACTATTTCGCTCCAGTTCTGCAGACCCTGTCTCCGGAGATGCGCGTAGTGAAGAATCAGCACGTGGGGCGCCGGGGAGGGCCCCATGTTGGGTGACTTCTTTCTCGGGGTTCTGGGAGAACCAAACTGTGAAGCGTCAGGTACTGGAGGACACACATAAACGGATCTTGTTTTTCAGTCGCTCAGTTGTGTCTGACACTTTGCTGCCCCATGGATTGCCCCTTTCCTTCACCATCTCCCGGAGTTCGCTCAAACTCATGTCCATTGAGTCAGTGATGCCATGAGATATCAGTTCCTGGCAGTCTCTTCCAAGGAGCTTTGTGGAGCCGGTCGTTGCTGGGGGATCCTGGGAGGTGCCCCGAGGGATGCCGTGTTGGGGCGACCTGCCTTTTAGCGGGGGCGGGGGGGGGTTAGTTATCGGAGGTCTTTTTGTTGGGAATTCTTGGTTTAGAGGGGGCGGATTTCGGGAATTCCGAACTTCCCTTCTTCCATCCCTTACTCATTCTTCATTGAAGTCTGTCTCTGAGACACAACTTTGCAGGGGCGAGCGGATTCCCCTATGCCTTGATTGGGGACTGATCTCTGTAACCCCACGTTCACACCCTTGTCCCCCTTCCCACTGAAAAAATGGACCTAGAAGTATGAGTAGTGGGCGTCCAGGTGGCCAGGTGTGCCCCGCGACACGCATACCTTACCCTCCTGAGCACAGAAGTGGATGTTGGGCTACACGCAGAAATAACTTAACACCAGCTCTGGTTTATCAAATGCATAGTAAGTACCAGCGGTGGTATTAAGTGCTCTGTGGATGTAATTCCATTCGCAGCGAATCAGTGAGTTCCCTGTGCCCCTTAAACCTGTTTTACAGATGATACAGAGTTATACTGTGTATAAGGTGCTCAGTACCCTGCCTGTCAGGCAGTGGATAATCAGTTCATTCAATTCAACAATTAAGTGCCTGCTCCTGTGACGACAGACACTGTGCTAGGCCTTGGGGACACAGCAGGAAGCAAAATAGTGTTTCTCCTTTGTGTCTTGAAGGAGTCCCTGTACAGACTGGGAGTCAGGAGTCCTGACTTGGCTGTGTGACCCCAGACAGGTCACAGCTCATCTGTTGTAGAACAATAAGTCGAATCTGGATGGTCCCTAATGAGCTTACTCACCCCTGGCTTCTACAGTTTCTAATGGTCCCTCTTTTGTGTTTATTTATGTATTCATTTACTCATTTGGCTGCGCCGAATCTTAGTTGTGGCGTAAGGGATCTATTTCCGTGACCAGGGTTCAAAGCCAGGTCCTGCATTGGTAGCTCAGAAACTTAGCCACCGGGCCGCCAGGGAAGTCCCTGATGATCCCTGTTTTGAGTGCCACCTCCTTTGATGGTCACCTGTGCTCAGACAACTGCACCCCCCTTATTATACCAGGTTGGCCCTACTGGCCCCGCTGGGAGCCACAGCCTGCTCATCAGGTTCACGAAGCGTCCTTACTGGTCTGGAGGATGAAGACCAGCCTCAGCTGCGCCCTTTCATTTTAATCCTTTCAACCCTGAGTTTGTGGTTTAGACCTTGACTCTGGAGCCCAGCTGCCGGGATCTCTAACTCTTCACTGGGTTCCTAGGCAAATGCTTCACCTCTCTGTGGTTGGTGGCCCCTCCTGTGAAACACTGACGACCATGGTGCTTGTCTCAAAGGGTTATGGAGAGGATGGAGTGAGTTTAGGAGTGTCAGGGCTTAGAACAGATGACTGGCATGTAGCGCATTCTGTGTAAATGTCAGTTGCTATTATTATGGTCATTGTTCTTTTTTTTTTTTTTTTGGATGTAGATGATTTTTAAAGTCTTTGTTGAATTTGTTACAATATTGCTTCTGTTTTATGTCTTGGCATTTTGGCCACAAGGCATGTGGGATCTCAACTTTCCAACTAGGGATGGAACCCGCACCCTGTGCGTTGGAAGGTGAATTTTTAACCACAGGACAGCCAGGGAAGTCCCTTACTTTTCTTTTATTTATTTATTTATTTTCTTCAGCTAAGACAGCAAAAGAGGTGATTTATTGTACACGTTACATTCAGCTACAACTGAGAAGAGAACTAGTCCATAGTTATCACAGGTCCAGGGCAAAGGACCAAAAGGGACGGCTTTGATACGAGCAAGGTAGGTCTCTCAAAGGTGGTCAGGGCGATCAGAATGGCCATAGATGTTCCAGATCCATTGAGAAGTTCTATATAGTAGGCATGCAGTCCACAATTTGTACCAGCATCCCTGGCCTCTGGCTTCCCTTGTTTCTGCTTCTGTGGCTTCCATGGGTGTACAAGTTTACTTGGACCTCTGCCTCATCTTTCTTCTTTTGCGTTTCAGCCTGCGCATTCGCTTCTTCCTCCACTTCGCTCTCATGACGCAGAGGTTTCTCAAAAGATGGTGCTAAGGCCGAGAGCCTTACTTTTCTTTAAAAAAAAAGATTTATTATTTATTTTTTGGTTGTGCTGGGTCTTTGTTGCTGCGTGCAGGCTTTCTCTAATTGCGGTGTGTGGGCTTCTCATTGCGGTGGCTTCTCCTGTTGTGGAGCACAGACTCTAGGGCGCTCTCGGGCTTCAGTACGGCAGCACCCTGGCTCAGCAGTTGTGGCTCGCAGGCTTAGTTGCCCCACAGCATGTGACATCTCCCGGGACCAGGGATCAAATCAGTGTCCCTTGCATTGGCAGGCAGATTCTTAACCGCTGGACCGCCAGGGAGGTCCATGGTCATTGTTCTTATTCAGGAATTGTGTGTTGGGAGTACAGGGGTGACTAGCACTCAGTCCCTGCCTTCAGAGTTTTAGCAGCTGAACAACAACAACAACGTAGGATCTTAGCTCCCCGACCAGGGATGGAACCTGCGTCCCCTGCACTGGAAGGTGGATTCTTAACCACTAGACCACCGGGGACGTCCTCAGGAGCTCTAAACAGTAGTAACGCTATTTTTCAGTCTCTGTGGGTCAGGGATCCAGGCCTGATTTAGCCGGGTGGCTGTGGCTCTGATCTCTGATCTCGTGTGAGGTTGCACGCAGACCCTGGCCGGGCTAAATCATCTGAGGGCTGGGCTGGGGCCGGGGGTGGGAGGCTTCAGTTTCTCCACCATGTGGGCCCCTGGAGCCACAAGGAGGAAGCCACAGGGTCCCTTACGATCCTCCCACGTCACATTGCCTTTTCTCTCATAGCCCGTTATTCACCCGGGTCAGCCCTATTCGCTGTGGGGTGGGGGGTGAGGTCCACACAGTCCACAAACATCAGGAGGTGAGGGTCCCTGAAGGCCATGTTGGGGACCAGTCTCCACAGCCCCTCTGGCTGCTGTGTGGCGAGCAGACCAGCGGAGGTCATTGGTGATGTAGACCAAGGCCACAGGCCCAGAGAGGAAAAGGGCCTTAGGGAAAGCCACACAGCAGGTAGGCAGGGCCAGACCCAGACACCCAGGCTGTTCAGTAGTTTGGAAACCACCCCGCTGAGGTCCTAACTCAGATGAACAAGTCAGCTAGCAGCAAATGGCACCTTTAACATGGCATCTCGGTTTCTGCCCCCAACAGGTTCTCAAGCTGAGAGGCCCCTGGTTTAGCCCAAGTTGGGAGGAAGGCAGCATCACCATGGTGACAGAGCAGGAGGTGGAGGCAGTGGGGCAGACACTGGTTGACCCCCAGCAGCCCCTGCAGGCCCGCTTCCGGGCACTGTTCACACTGCGTGGGCTCGGGGGTCCAGTGGCCATTGCCTGGATCAGCCGGGCCTTCGATGATGACTCAGCCCTGCTCAAGCATGAGCTAGCCTACTGCCTGGGCCAAATGCAGGACCGGCGGGCCATCCCCGTGCTGCTGGATGTGCTGCGGGACACCCGCCAGGAGCCCATGGTGCGCCACGAGGCAGGTGAGTGGGGACGAGGTGTGGCTGTACCTGGCGAGCACTGGGAGGGGTGGGTGGTGAATGCCTCCGACCACCTCTGCCCCACGTCTCAGCTCTGCTGCCGAAGCAGGAGAGCCAATAAACCCCAGGTAATAGATGGGCGTTGCCTTGAGCCAGTCCGGCTTTATGGGCCCTGAGATGTGAATTTCACGAGTCATCAATTGTGATCCCTTTGTTTTTGTTTTTATTTTTTTGGTCGCTCCATGTGGCATGTGGTATCTTAGATCTTTTACCAGGGATTGAACCCACACCCCTTGCATTGGAAGCTCAGAGTCTTTACCAATGGACCACCTGAAGTCCCTGGTCTCTTTGATTAAAAGAAAATACACAGACAATGCGGGAGACCTGGGCTTGATCCCTGGGTCAGGAAGATCCCCTGGGGAAGGAAATGATAACCCACTCCAGTATTCTTGCCTGGAGAATCCCATGAACAGGGGAGCCTGGCAGACTACAGTCTATGGGGTTGCCAAGAGTCAGACACGACTGAGTGACTTAAAAAAAAAAAAAAGTTAAAATTGGAAATACCTTTCTTTGCTCATACAAAGACAGGCAGTGGCCGTAGACGGCCAACCTGAGGTTACTCAGTCACTTCACTTACTGGACAATTTTTTTCTTTTTATGGCCACTCCAGATGGCTTGTGGGATCTTAGTTCCTCAACCAGGGATCAAACCTGTGCCCTCTGCAGAAAAGGCATGGAGTCCTAACTGCTGGATTGCCAGGAAATTCACTGGACAAATGTTCATGGACCATCTACTGTGGGCCAGGTGTTGTTCTCACAATAGACTCAGATAGCCAGTGAGGGGCTGTGTTTCCATTTATGATTGTTCTTGGTCCTTTTGAATATTTCCCCAAGATAGTCTCCAGCTTTGCCAGGCTGCTTTGGACTCCTCTCAGGATCCCAACCATTGACTCCACTAGGAGCTCTCCTTACAGAGAAATGTTTGAACTCAAACCTCGATTTCTTGTGTGTGATTTTTCTGGAATACCCAGTCATGTTATGGTGTAAACGCTTACCTAAGTGTGAAGGAGGAAAATAAAGCCTGGGAGGGGGTACCAGAGGTGTTGCCTTTTTTTTTTTTTTTGCCTTTCCATGGGACGTGTGGGATCCTAGTTCCCTGACTAGGGATTGAACCTGTGCCCAGTGCATTTGAAGCTCAGAGTCTCAACCACTGAACCACCAGGGAAGTCCAGCATTGCTGTTTTTAATTGCTGGACAGAGATCCAAGTGGAGTAAGGGAGTAATCTAGGTAGTTGTCTGGGGAAAGGGGTTCTGGGTGGTGCAAAGGCCCTGAGGCAGGATGGTGCTTGTCTGCTGACCCTCCTTGCCCACATGGCAGCTTGGAAACTTCCTCCATGTTTTCAGGGCTCTCCATGATGGACTCGACTCAGCGGAATGTTCTTGGCTTTCACCACCCATGTCCCCAAGTTGTAAGGACATACTTTTCTGCATCTCCCCTCTGGGCCATGAGCTCTAGGGCTGTGGGCCAGTGTGGGGTCTGAGCCAGGTTCCAGCAAAGTCTGATTTCTGGGGAAGGGACACTCATTGGTGCAGATTGATTCAGGGCTGGACTGGTCCCTGCTCCAAAACTCATGGCTGGGTAGCCCATCCACAGGACACACGCAGGGGGCAGTGGGGGAAGGCATCTGAGGTGTTTCCTCATCAACCAGTGTGCACTCTCTGCCCTGTTCTTCTCAGGGGAGGCCCTGGGGGCCATTGGGGACCCAGAAGTGCTGGAGATCCTGAAGCAGTACTCTACTGACCCTGTCGTCGAGGTAACGCAGCACCCCCCATGCCCACCCCCATCTCGGGTCCAGGAACTGGCTTCAGACCCTGTGTCTGGTTGCCAGGGTGACCACCTGGCCCAGGGATGCTGAGAGAGGGTTGCAGTCAGGATGGACACCAGCTACTTCCTCTTTGGGCAAAACTGGACTCTTTTCACTTTTAAAAAACTGAATTCTTGATTCACACGTAACACCTACCCTGCTCCACTGGCACCAGCCCAGCCCCCACTCACCTTTCCCCTAGCCTCCCATGGGCAGTCCCTCCATCGTGTAGATCTCCCAACCCACCCACCTCTTCACCTCCGCCCAGCCTCATCCAGTGTCTCCCTGCCGCATTCCCTAGTTTTTCTTTAAACAACAGCTTTATTGAGATGTGTCACATACCATAAAACCCACTCCCTGAAAGTGTGCATTTGGGTGGTTTTTAGTGGCTCAGCTGATAAAAGAATCCACCTGCAATGCCAGAGACCTGGGTTTGAACCCCGGGTTGGGAAGATCCCCTGGAGAAGGGAAAGACTACCCACTCCAGTATTCTGGCCTAGAGAATTTCACTGGGCTGTATAGTCCATGGCATCTCAAAGAGTCGGATACAATTGAGCAACTTTGACTTTCACTTTGTACATCCATAGAGTTATAAAACCATCATCACTGTCTGATTCCCAGAACAGGCCATCCCCCCAGAAGGAAGCCCCATCCCCATGAACAGTCACTTCCCATCCCCTCCCCCAGCCCCTGACCTCCAGGAACCCACTCTCTGTGTCTGTGGACCTGCCTGTTCTGCATGTTTCCCGTCAGTGGAATCACACCCTGTGTGTCCTTCTGTGTCTGCCTCTCTCACTGAGCACCGTGGTCTCAGGGTCCATCCACATGGTAGCAGGTGTCTGGGCTTCTCCCCTTTTCAGGGCTGAGTGATGCTCCTGTGTGTGGAGGAATCACTTTTATTTATCATCCATCATCTGTTAACCTATTCTCTGCCTCAAGACTCATGGTTTGTCATCACCTTTAGGACAGTAGTCTTAAGCAGGCCTGGCCTCCTCAGGTCATGTCTGTTGCTGGCCCCCTCCGACGGTCCTGCCTCAGGGCCTTTGCACTGGCTGATTCCACCTGATGCTTTTCTCACTGGTCACCTCCGAGTGACTCCTTCTGACCCACTGTTCCCCTATCATTCCCTGATCACAGCAGTCTCTGCTGGTTGTTTCCAGCCTGAAAGGATCAATTAGTCCAGAGTCTGTGGGCTCTCCCCCTGCTAAACCAGGAGCCCTGGGGGCTGGAGGGGGACCTGGCATGTCCACTCCCTTCCCTCCCGTCCCCAGTGGCCGCCTGTGTGCCCCTCTCTCTGCAGGTGGCCGAGACATGCCAGCTGGCTGTCCGGCGGCTAGAGTGGCTGCAGCAGCACAGTGGGGAGTCAGCAGTCCGGGGGCCCTACCTCTCTGTGGACCCGGCCCCGCCCGCTGAGGAGCGCGACCTGGGACGGCTGCGGGAGGTGCTGCTGGATGAGGCCCGGCCACTGTTCGACCGATACCGAGCCATGTTCGCCCTGCGCGACGCCGGAGGCAAGGAGGCCGCCCTGGCACTAGCCGAAGGTGAGGAGGGGCATCAGAGGTCGGGGTCGGGGCCCTTGGGGAGGCCCTGTGGCCATATCTGTTGCATAGAGCTGCATAGCATCCTGGGGCAGGTGCTCTTATTACCCCCACTTCCCCGTGGTGGGAGCCTAGGCCCAGAGAGGCAGAGGGACTTGTCTAAGGTCACACAGCAGTCTCAGCTGCAGAGTTTGGGTTTGACCCTAGGGGCCCCCATTACCGTTACTGGTGGCATTTTCATCTCAGCTCTGCAGGGAGCCCTGTGCAGGTGTGAGGGGCTGTGGCTCCTCCAGCAGAAAAGAAGAGGAGGGGCCTCTGGGAATCCTGGGGTCCCTTGCTCCCCTCCCCCACACCTGAGGTGGCTGCTTTCAGTCCACAGAGCGCTCAGAGCCCCTCTGTCTTCCTGGAGCTTCCTGTCTGGCCAGGGAGGTGCTGGGACATCACCACCACATGGACCTGGGGCGGGAGTGCAGAGCGGGCAGGTGTGGGTTTGTCCTTGGTTGCCTGGAGCAGCAGCTGCACAGTCAGGCGGGCTGGCCTCCGATCCCAGCTCTGCCTCCAGAGGATATCAGATCACAGGCAGGTCACTCCCAGGTCCGAGGGTTGGGGCCCCATCAGGAGAAGTGTTGCCCCTCTATGTGGCTCTGCTGGTGAAAGACCTGGGACTCTGCCTGTCAGGGTCACCAAGACTCTACAGAGTGTGGGGATCGGGCGGGAGATGACCCAGAAGCACAAATGTATAAGATGCCTGCAAATTGCACTGGGCGGTGGGGGCACAGCACGGAGTTGGGGGTGCAGGGGGACAGGACGGGAAGGAGGAGGCCATGCCCAGTCTGGCCTCCGGGGAGGCGGGCAGGAGGGCTGAGTTTCCAGTGCCCGGATGGGCCCACCCTGCCTCCCCAGTCCCTCTGGTGGCATAGGTCCCACCTCTGAACTCTGGGACTGGCGGGGGTGGGGTGTTGGGGAGTGCTCCCAGGTACAGGAACCCCCTTTCGACCCCTCTCGGTCCCTCTGTCCCCCGGCGCCCCGTGCCAGGCCCTCTCCTCGCTCTGTGGTGACCCCAGCCCGTGACCTCCTTCCCCTGTAGGCCTGCGCTGCGGCAGCGCCCTCTTCCGCCATGAGATCGGCTACGTTCTGGGCCAAATGCAGCAGGAGGCGGCAGTGCCCCAGCTGGCGGCGGCCCTGGCGCGGCCCACCGAGAACCCCATGGTACGACATGAGTGCGCCGAGGCCCTGGGGGCCATTGCCCGGCCTGCCTGCCTGGCCGCCCTGCGGGCCCACGCGGCCGACCCTGAGCGTGTGGTGCGGGAGAGCTGCGAGGTGGCCCTGGACATGTACGAGCACGAGACGGGGTCGGCCTTCCAGTATGCGGACGGGCTGGAGCGGCTGCGCTCGCCGCTTTCCTAGGGCCGCCTCCTGGCGGCCTCCCCGCTTGGACTCGGTGCATAAACCGTGTTGGAGCGAATCGGATCTTGCTTCCCTGTCTCCTGGCCCCTTTTGCATCATGATCGCAGGCTTCCAGGGGCCACGCTGAAGTCTCTTCTGCTGCTGAGCACAAGGAGGGGGGACCGAGGGGTTGTGGGAACAGAGCTGTGTTATGGGGGGTCAGGGTGCGGTGGCCCAGCTTCTCTAGGAATGGAAGGGTGCAGGGAAGTCACTGTGGGGAAACCTAGGCCCCCAGGGTTGGGGGTGTTGGAGCTGTCCTTGGTGGGGTGGGGAGGTGGTCCCTGGGTGGGGTGGGGTGGCCTGGAACTAAGGGCTTAGGGAGGGCAAGCAGGTCCCAGGGACACAGCCTAGATGGACTATTAAATTATTTTTGCCAAGCGATGACTCTCAGAGTGTGTTGGGGGTGGCAGAGGTGAGGGACGGCGGCTCTAAAGGAACATCTAAGTGTGGGGGACAAAGGCGTGTGGAGAGCTCAGCTCTGGCGTCTGCCCTGCCCGAGACTGTGTAACTGACCACAAGCCAGTGCTCCTGTTTCACCATCAATTCCCAGGAATAAAATCTGCCCAGCCAGTTCCCACCAAGCCAGACCTTGTCCTCGCCCAGCCTTTATTGGGGACATAAGGGAAGGGGTTTTGTGGTATGGCTGAGAGCTCGGGCCATGAGTTCCCATCCCATCTCCTTCCCCTACTTCCTCCACCTGCAGTCTCTAGCAGGCCATTTACCGCTTTGTAAAATGGGTGTTCGGAGAAGGCAGTGGCAACCCACTCCAGTACTCTTGCCTGGAAAATCCCATGGGCAGAGGAGCCTGGTGGGCTGCAGTCCATGGGGTCGCAAAGAGTCGGAAACAACTGAGCTACTTCACTTTCACTTTCATTCATTGGAGGAGGAAATGGCAGCCCACTCCAGTGTTCTTGCCTGAAGAATCCCAGGGATGGCAGAGCCTGCTGGGCTGCCATCTATGGGGTCGCACAGAGTCGGACATGATTGAAGCGACTTAGCAGCAGCAAAATGGGTGTTAAGAAGAGAACTCATTTCATGTGTGACACATTTTCACACCAAGAAGTTCTCAGTTTCTACATTGGGATCAGCTGGGTGTCTTACAACCCAGTTCAGTGCTGACACCATCTGCCCAGAGTAAGTGCAGACCCTCTGGGTTCAGGGGTCAGACCTGCCGAGTTGCCCTGCTTCAGACCCTGGTCTCGAGTCTGGACCTCCGGTACTTCTGATCGACTGGTTATAATTTGGGGCTCCCACCACCCCCTCAAGTCAGGAAAACAATTTACTTACCTATTTATCATAAAGGAGGCAAATGAACAGCCAGATGAAGAGGCGCAAAGTCCAGGAGGGTCCCCAGCACGAGCGTCTGTCCTCATGGGGCGGATGCTCTCACTCGCCCGGAAGCTCTCCAAGCCCCTTCCAGTAGGGTTTTCAGCATGGGCACGGTCTGTTAAGTCACCATTGGCAATTAGCTCAGTTCCCAGCCCCTCTCCCCAGGGCACACTCAGTTGTATCTCAGTTGTACCCGACTCTGCGACCGCATGGACTGTAGCCTGCCAGGCTCCTCTGTCCATGGAATTCTCCAGGCAAGAATACTGGAGTGGGTTGCCATTCTCTCCTCCGGGGCATCTTGACCCAGGGATCGAACCCGGGTCTCTTGCATTAGAGGTTGATTCTTTACCGTCTGAGCCACCCGGAAGCCCTCTCCCTGGGGTGGTGGGGCTGAAAGTTCCATCCCTCTATCCCAGAGTTGGTTCCCCATGCCACCGGGGCCCTCCAACACAAAGCTGCCCCACCCCGTCTGCATCAGCTGACACACAGGTGTGGTAGAAAGAGGCTGATTACGAACCACAGAGGAGGCTTCCTTCATCCCATCACTCAGGAAATTACAGGTTCTTGGAAGCTCCGTGCCAGGTGCCAGGATGAAGAACAAACAGATTTCCTGTTATCCTACAGCGTCACCCTCGGGTGCTGGCTGCGAGCCCCCTCCCTCAATTTTCCCCAGGACCCTAGCCCGCCTCGTCAGTTGGCCCTGTGGCATGTGGGATCTTAGTACCTTGACGAGGGATCAAACCCATGTGCCCCACATTGCAAGGCAAATTCCCAACCTCTGAACCAGCAGGGAAGTCCCTGTAATTTAAGAGCAGAAAAACCAGCACCATCACACACAGTCCTGACCCCATGCCTTCCAGCTCTGGCCCCCATAAGCCCTAGGAAGTTTTCAGACCCTCGCCAGCTGGTTCTCTCCCAAACAGATGCCAACTAGGACTGCCCCTAAAGTCCCCAGAACCGTCCTTGCCCACAGATGACCTGTGAGTGCGTGCTAAGTCCCTTCATCGTGTCCGAGTATTTGCGACCCTATGGACTGTAGCCTTCCAGGCTTCTTTGTCCATGAGGATTCTCCAGGCTGGAGATGGGAACTGGAATGGGTTGCCGTGCCCTCCTCCAGGGGCTCTTCCCTACCCAAGGATTGAACCCAGGTCTCCTGCAGCTCCTGCTCTGCAGGCAGATTCTTTCCTGCTGAGCCACGGGGGAAGCCCACAGGTGGCCTCCCAGTGTCCAAATCTGGTGGTCACATCTCAGTCTGCACTCCGCCTCCAGGAAGCCTCCGACCGCGCAGCCCCTCTGCTCCTGGGAATTTCTCAGGGACCCCGCCTCCGGCCCGCCTTCATCTCCCCTTCCTATCCTTCACTGGCCCAGGGCTGGGTCCTCAAGCCCCACTTACATCCCAGCTGGGCAGCTTAATCCACTACTGGGGCTTAAATCCCATCTGTATCCCAGTCATACCCACCGGCCTGACTCCAGCCGTGGGATGAGGGTGGCGGAACCTCCCCGTAGCTCTTGACTCAGGGTCCAGTCTGGATATCTCCAATTAGCTGATGAGGCTTCCCAAATTTAGCAGGCTTTAGACTTGCTACCTCCCACAGTGGCGTCTCCTACAGGAAATGGAAACTCCTGTCACTCCAGGTGCCCAGCCTGCCAACACCAGGGTTTGATCAGTTTAAAATCTGCCCCAGCTCTGCCTACTCCGCCCCACTTTTTTGCCTGCACCTGGTCCAACCTCATTATTGCCCATCTGGACCGGCGCAATCCCTCTGGCCCATCCATCCCTTGGCTCCCAACCTCACCTCCAGGATCTGTCCTCCCCACAACAGCCACCGGAGGGCGTTTGTGAGCACCTGAGTGAGATCCCACCCTCACCTCCACAGTCTGTCTTCCCCACAGCAACCACCGGAGGGCGCCTGTAAGCACCCGAGTCTGGTCATGTCCATCAAGTCCGTCCTGCTCCTGCTGCATCCAATAAACTACTTCCCTCTGGACCATGGCTGGTCCTTTCCTCCTCTGGGCCTCTGGCCAAATATCAGCTGGACATGACCTTGGCTGCCCTACTGCAAACTTTAACTTCCCTCCTAGAAGCCCCACGCTGCCCTCAAACCACTGAGGGCAGGGTGGTCTTCCCGCCTACCCTACCCTCAAACCGCTGTTCACTTTCTCTTTTTTTAAAAAATTTAATGTCATTTATTTTGGCTGCACTGGGTGTTCGTTGCTACACACAGGAGCTTTCTCCAGTTGCAGTGAGCAGTGGCTTCTAGCTGCTGAGCACGGGCTTTAGGGTGTATGGGCTGGTGGTACTTCTGGCACATGGGTTCATTAGTTGCAGCTTGCAGGCACTAGCATGGGCTTAAGTGCCCTGTGGCATGTAGAATCCTCCTAGACCAGGGACTGAACCTGTGTTCCCTGCATTTGCTGGAGAATTCATAACCACTGGACCACCAGGGAAGCCCCACTGTTCACTTTCTAACACAATACAATCCTTACTCTAAGGTTATGCTTTTCTCAGAGTCTATCTCCCCATGTGTGCGCATGCATGCATGCTAAGTCACTTCAGTCACGTCTGACTCTTTGCGACCCTATGGACTATAGCCTGCCAGGTTCCTCTGTCCATGGGGTTCTCCAGGCAAGAATACTAGAGTGGGTTGCCATGTCCTTCTCTAGGGAATCTTCCCGACTCAGGATTGAACCCACATCTCCTGGATCTCCTGCAGTGCAGGTGGATTCTTTACCACTAAATCACTTGGGAAACTCCCTATCTCCCCATCTTGACCGTCAGCTCCAGGAGGGTAGGGATTTTCCCAGAAGAGGGAGCAACCTGTGCTAAGGCCCTGTGGGGGGTGATGGATGTGCAGGGGAGTGCCTGGCAGCGGCTGTTGCTGAGCGAGGGAGGGGGCAGTGGGCGGAAGTGATTTGCAATGTGATCCACACCCAGGCAGATGGTGGCCACAGGGGAGCCCCAATCCTCTTATCCAAAGCTCCTTAATACTTCCGCCAGGCAGGTCACCTCCAGGCCTCTCCTGCTCCGGGTGGCTGTCATGCCGGGGCTGGCGACCGAGGAGGGGATGGACAACTGGAGCCCGGCCCCGCCACTCTATGAAGAGTACCGCCCGCCGCCACTGGACACCATCCGCCTGCCCAGGTACGTGCTGTACCTGCTGCTGGCTGCGTTCCTGGTGGTGGCCGTGGCCTACGCCATTGTGGGCCATCTCATCAAGGACCTTGCCCACGATCTGGCTGGTGAGCCGCTACCCAGCACACCTGGAGTGGGCTAGTGCTGGACAACGGGGGGAGGGAGGGCCCAAGGGTCTCCCGTAGCCAGGGAAGAGGGTGGAAGGTGGCCATGCCTGGGGACGCTTCTCATCACCTTCCTGTCTCAGACTGGGCTTTTGGCCCGAAGCCGGATCAGGAGGACGCCCCCCAGGAGCTGCCCGAGAGCCCCGAGGGCGAAGACCTGGAAGAACTGGACCTGCAGCTGGCTCTGGCCTGGAGGGGCGAGGAGGATGCGGGTGGGGGTGGCGAGGGGGCCCCCACAGAAGCCCCCACCAGGGCCCCCCGCCGCCCCTCCATTGCCTTCAAAGATCCACCAGTCCGGAGCTCTTTTTGGAAGCTGGGCTGAGCTGGGCCCTGCCCTGGGGCCCAGGAGGCTGGCTCCAGTCCCTTTGGTGGTTGTATTAATATAAAGTGGACTCATGCCCGTCAGAGCCTCTTCTCCACTGATCTGCGCTGTCTTGACAGAGAAAACATGGTCTTTCTTGGCTGGCGGGCTCCAGTGGTTGGACATTGGTTTATTTGCATGCTCTGGCTTCCCCCGTTCTGCCAGAGCCTAACCCAACTCAGTTTCCACCAAGCCCTGGGCAACCTGTAAACCAAAAACACTAAGGAGGTTTAAAAAAAGAGAGATCACAATAGCGGCCAACCCTTAGCTAAAGCTGTGGGATGCTAAGCAAGCCCTTTCTGTATTTTCTTTCATTCAATCCTCCAATGTGGGACTTATCCACCTATTTATTAGATGGGAAAACGGAGGCATGCAGCCCAGACATGACTTGGTTGGAGCGGAGAGAATTTTTTGCGGGATGAGGCCAGCCCAGCCAGCGACCTGCCTGGGGAAGCAGAGGCGTGCCGCCTGGGCTCCTCCACCCCCAGGTCCTCTCGGCTAGATTATGGGGTGGTCTGTCTCTGGGGGTCCTGCCTTCCTAACTAGCCTGAGGGCACCCCGAGGACAGGGGCCTCCTTCCCTCCTGAGCTTTGCATGGGGCAGGGCACACAGTACGGACTTCAAGTGTGGGCCGGTCTTGGGCTCCAGTGAGTGGCCCTCAGGCACTGCGGCCGTGGTCAGAGCTCAGGAAGGGAGGGGGCAGTGATGCTGGTGGCCTGGAGTAGGGCCAGGCCTCCCCGCCCCAGTCTTCCTGCCACGTGCCTGGCCCGTGGCTGTCTCATGGCAGCTGAGGGGTAGGGTCCCCCTTCTCCCAGACAGGGCCATCTATCTAATCAACTTAGTGATCAAGGTTGCCACACAGGAGACTTGGAGCCTGAGTCATCGGCTGCTCCGGCCCCGTTCTCCTGGGCTTGAAGGTGGAGGGTGGCCCCTCCTTTCCTGCTCCTTGTGCTTTCCCTGGCGTTGGCTGTGGGTGCCCCGGGGTCGGGGAGCCACGATGAAGCAGTATAAGCTGGTGATGAGAGAGACCCATGTTCACATCCCAGTGCTGGCTGTTTCTGTCCAGCCTGGCACTCCTGGCCTCCCTGTAAAATGCAGGTGGCAAAAGTCTGTGGTGTGTGCAGAGAAAGAAATGTAATGAGGCGTAAAAGCACTGAGTCAGGAAGCCAGGTCAGGGCCATCTCAGCTCGGCCCCTGTGGGGCGAGCCTGGGGGGACCCGCAGGCCAGCTGTCTGGGGGTGGGACGCAGGGCAGAGGGGCTGGACTCCCGAGTTAATCGTTACAACCAGGTCCAGAGTCTGCCCTCCTGGAAGGTGGGGGAGAGGGTGTGGGATGCCAACCAGGTGGGGCAATGGGAGGGGCCCCTCGACCTGCCTGCCTTCTTATCAGGAGCTGGGCAGGGCCTTCCCTGACCCTGACGGGGGGGACCACACACTCCAGCACCCCGGCTGCTGGCTCCTCTGCACGATGGGGACCTTAGGGATCCTGCTTCTGCTCATGGGTCTGCTCCTGTCACCAGCTGAGGCCCAGAAGGGTAAGGCTCTGACCTCTGGTTTTTGGGGTGGGAGGAGGGGTTGGGGGATGGGCTCGGACATGGGCTCGCCCCCTCCCCACTTGATGAGAAACCAAGGACCCTGAGAGGAGAAGGGACAGGCAGAAGAGAAGGGAGGCCCCCTCCCCAACTCCCCCACTCCCTCAGGGCTTCCCACCCCATCTCTGAGCACCGCCATCTCTGAGGCACTTCCCTGAGGTCCCCTGTTGAGGACTCTGCTCTCTCACTGCCCGAGGCCTGGGTTCAACCCCTGGTCAGGGGACTAAGAGCCCACAAGCTGTGGTGTCACAAAAACAAGCAAACAAATTTAAAGGACTTCCCTGGAAGTCCAGTGGTTAGGACTCCACACTTCCACTGCCGGGGGCATGAGTTCCATCCTCGTTGGGGAACTAGATCGCACATGCTAATGTCAGCATCTCCTGCACTCGTCTTTCCCTGTCCTTTCGGGGGGGCCCCCCACCTTTCCCTGGTGCTTCCCTGGTGGTTCAGACGGTAAAGTATCCACCTGCAATGCAGGGAGACCTGGGATTGACCTCTGGGTCGGGAAGATCCCCTGGAGGAGGGCATGGCAACCCACTCCAGTGTTCTTGCCTGGAGAATCTCACAGAGAGGAGCCTGGTGGGCTACAGTCCATGGGGTCACACAGAGTCGGACACAACTGAGGGGCTAACACTCCACTTTCCACCCTTCCCATATCTGAGTCCCCCCTTCCCCCACCTCCCCACAGAGCGCCATCTGAAGCCCTGGCTGGTGGGCCTGGCTGCTGTCGTGGGGTTCCTGTTCATTGTCTTCATCTTCATGTTGGCCAACCGCCTCTGGTGCTCCAAAGCAAGGTGGGAACCCCGTTCCTCACCCCTTCTCCTCCATATCCCCAAAGTGCTGGGCACCTCCTCCCACTTCATGACCCTCTCTGGCCCCTATCCTTGTCTCCCTATTTCCCTGCTCCCCCTGCACCCACAGCCCAGGACAGTCATGCAGTTCCCCCTGCCAGCTCTTGCTTCCTGAGTTCCTTTCATCTGGAGGAGACTGAGGCTGCCTCCACTTCCTGCCCTTTATCCATCACCACCCCTCTGACTCCCATCTCTTCTGCAGAGCTGAGGATGAAGAGAAGCCCACATTCAGGAAGAATCCCAATCCATATGAGGAGGTGGATCTGAGGTACTGCTGTGTGGGCATGTGTGTGTGTACGGTCAGCAGGTCTGTGTGAAGTCCCTCTCAGGGAGAGGAGGGGTGGGTGTGCACTGATGACCTCTTTCTGTCCTTGAACACCTCAAGCGCACTCTGGCCCCAGGGCCTTTGCACCTACTGTTTGTTCTGATTTTTACACATTTGCCCATATCTTCTGGCTGGCTCTGTCTCTCCTCCAGCCCCTGCTTAAATGTTTCCTCTCCACAGAAGCCCAACCTGACCAACAGCGTTTCTGACGCTCTCTCTGACACAGCCCTGCATCTTTCTTTGCATGTATTGCCAACTGAAATTATCTAAGTCATTTACCAGTTTCTTGACACTAGATTTTGGTTTCCAGTACGTGAACAGAACTTAGCTTTGGTCCAGGCTGTGTCCCCAGGGCCTTTCCCAGGGCCTGGCATGCAGTAGGCACTTACTAAATACCTGTTGAACAAGATGGTGGTGTGGGATAGTGTGATTGTGTGTGCAAGCGTGTGATTTGGTGTGGGTGACTCTCCTGGATTCAGCGTCTCCCATGATCCTGTTTCCAGATGTGACTCTGATGAGAGCTGAGTGATGTGGGCAGGGCTGGGGCCTCTTACGGAGCAAGCACCCCAACTTGGGCAAAGGTCTGGGGACAGGAGTAGGAGCTGGGAGCTGGGAGGAGAATATCCTGGCTGGAAGACTCTCAGCTGAGCCCAAGATGCCTGAGGGAGGGGTCTGGGCTGGACTATGCTTTGTTTAGACCCAGCTCAGCCCCAGGAAAGTGTGATTCCTGCTCTCAGGATGTGCTGGAGGCTCCAGGTCCAATAAGTGCTCCTAATTCATAGTTTGTTCCCTGCCGGATTTATTCCTTCCCCATCCATCCATTTACACTCCCACCCACAAATCCTCCCATCCTTCCATCCATCCATCCATCCATTCATCCACCTACCCATCTATCCATTCACCCATCCATCTAGCCATTCATCCATTCTCCCATCCATCCATTCTTCCATCCATCCATTTCCCCATCCACCCATCCATTGTCCCATCTATACATCATCCATCCATCCATTCTTCCAATGAACAACTGAACCTTAGTTTCTACCTTTGTGAAATAGAAATCACAAGGCTGCCTTGTAAGGGCTATTTTGAAGATTCAGCAAAGACTTTTTGTAAAGCATTCATCATAAGGCCTGGTACAGGTGAGGGTCTGTTAAATGGGAATGTTTTGTTACCATGGTTTGAGGTCTTTGTGTCCCTACAGAAAAGAAGACAAGAAGGGGAAGGAAGAGAAGGAGGAAAAGGCCGAAGAGAAAAAAGCTGGGAAGGGGAAAAAGGCCAAGAAGAAAGGAAAGAGAAACTTCGGGCTGGAGCTAGAGGAAAATGAGGAGTGCAGGGACTATGAGGAAGTCAAGAACACGGCCATGTGAAGATTCAGTCGCCTCCTCTAAGCAACCCGCCAGAAATGCCCCTTCCACACCCTAGACGCAATGAACTAAACCTGAAGCCACTGCAGTGACTCCATCTGGGGTTGAGAGTACATCACCCTGAATGAAGAGGCTGGGAACCCTACCCACCCCCAACCAAGGAGGACTCTTTGTGTGTTATGCAGTCTATATTGTTATGATTTGTTATGCCTGGTGATTCTTCTTGCACTTGGAGACCATCCCTGGTTCCTGAGAAACTCCCAACCCACACACTCTCATCGCTCCACCTGCTTCTCCCCACTGCCTGACATCTATTGGCCAAAACTTCCTCCCTCCCGTTCAGCTTCAGGACCAGTATAGGCCAGGGGCTGCCCCTCGGGGGAGAGCCTTTCAGAAGGGCTTCCGTTGTCCGCTGGGACTCAGTTTCCCCAGGGAGGAGACAGCTTTGGGGGCTGGGAGCAACGCCCGGGCAGCTGTGGGAGACCAAACTCCACCGTGCCCAGGTGCTGGGCAGATCAGACGCTCCCTTTGCAATCTTGATCCTGCCGTCCTGAACCCTGAACTTTGAGCCCTGAGAGCTGACTCCTGGAAAAGTCTTGCTCCCCCCACCCCTGGGTTTTTGGCTCATGTGACTCCATTTCCAGGCACAGGGTCTTGACGGGTGGGGTGACCCTGGGCGCACCATCTTAGGAGGGGACAAGCCTCTGCTGCTCTCCTCACTTTCTTCAGGCCCTGGACCTTGCCCTTGATGTTAACCATTTCCTAATGAGAACTTTGATAAAGGCTGGCGTTTATCATTTTATTTATTCACTGGCTGTGCTGGGTCTCCGCTGCTGCGCGGGTTTTTCTCTAGTTGTGGCCAGCGGGGCCACAACAGTACTCTTGTTGTGCAGGCTTCTCATTGCGTTGGCTTCTCTTGTTGCGGAGCACGCGAGAAGGCTCCCCTGTGGAGCGAGTAGCCCACAAGGTGGGGAGCTTCTGAGACTATCCCAGGATCGGCCACCAGGGGGCAGAAAAGTCGTAAATAAAAATATATAATCTCCCTAGAAGATGCTTCCACTGAACGCCTAGCATCCTTATGGTCTCAGTCTCTTGTCGGTTTGCAATTCGTCCCATTTTCCAGATGAAAATACTGAGGCTTAGAAAGAAGGAAGCCACCAGCCCAGGTCTCCCTGGTTGTTGTTGGCAGTGCTGGGAATGAAGCCTAGGCTGCCCAGAGGACGGGCACATGCAGGGGCTGGCTAAGGTCAGATTTGGAGGTTCATGTCCTAGAACGGGAGAGGGTTGGGGTAGGGGGTGTTCCTAGCTGGGAAAACTGTGTTCCTCTGGGATGCTGTGTGGCCCCAGGGAATTGGCCTGACTTCTCTGAGCCTCGAGTTGGCTCCTCTTTTGCCGTGTGAGGACAAGAGTTCTGACCACCAGAGTTTGAGACTTGATGGAGGTGCTGGGATTTCAGAGCCAGTGCAATGCCTGGTTCCCCACCTTTCTCGAGCCGCCCCTACCGTGGCTCTGACCGTGGAGAGTGAGGGTCAGGATGGGCCTCAGGGAGACAGGGACTCGGAAGCTCAGGACCCTGAGCCCCTCCCCATGGTGCCGGAACTCAGGGAGGGGACCCCACCTCCTACTTCCTGGGGCCCCGGCCACACCCTGCCCTGGGTTGCGCTGGGCAAGCCACTTCCTTCTCCCGCCAGGGCTGCAACCCCAGAATCTGCTGGTAGGGGCGAGGACAGAGGGCTCAGGATGGGTAGATTCTGGAAGACCCCCGGTCAACTCTCTCTTCTCGCAGCTCTGGTCCCAAGGCTGGTGCAGGCCCAACCCGGTAAGGCCTTGGGAGGGAGTCGGGGTGGGGTAGGGAAGAGAGCCCCATCCTGGCGGCCCCGACTCTGACCCAGCCCTGCCCCCGCCCGCAGTGGCCCAGCGGAAGTCGTGGCTGGTGGGGCTAGGGGCTGCGCTGGCCTTGCTCTTCCTCATCTTTGTCCTCACCTTGGTCTATGCCGTCTGGTGCCGGGAGTCCCAGGACAGGTGGGTTCTCATCCTTCTGAGCCCCTCCCCATCGCTAACTCTTTAGCATCTCAGCTCCGCCCCTTTCTGAGTCCCTCCCCTCTAAGCTCCTCCCCTACCGAGCCCCTCCCCCCTCTGAGTCCTGCCCCTCTAAGACCCTCCCCGCGCCAAGACCCTCCCCTCTGGGAGCCCCTTCCCTCTCCGAGCGTCCTTCAAGACAGGGCAGGACCAGCGGGGTAATTCTCTGATTCTGAGAGGCCCCCACGGTGGCCTCACAGGACCTCACTGACTTCTCTCCTGACTACCTACCTGCAAAACGAGGGTGGCTTCCTCACAGAGATTCCCCCATCCCTAGGATGTGTTTCAATAGGGGGGGTCTATAAAGTATCATCCCTATGCCAACAGCATCCATTTACCCATCCACCTGTCCATCATCCACCCATCATCCCTCCTGACCTGTCTCCCACCTTTTCTCTCTCCTTCCCTCCCTCCATCATCCATCCCTCTTATCTGTCCATCCATCCATCCACCCACCTTCCCACCACCTATCCATGGGTCCATTCGTTCATCTGTCCACACACTCATTAATCCATCCACTCATCCGTCGGTCCAGCCCTTCATCTCTCTGCCTGTCTACTCACCCGCAGTTCTGAAACCCAGGAAGTCAAAGAGGCCAGAAATTAAGAGCTCAGTTTTGGCTCAGACAGTTGGTGCTCCTGAACTTCCTTCATGTTCTAACGGGGCCAGTGTCCTAAGCTGCCTGAGTCTTGTCCCCCTCTGTGTCATGGGAACAGTAAGGGTGCCTGCAGGACTCAGAGCTGGGAGAATCGTCAGAGGCCTGGAGCACTGTCTGCCCTTATTAACTCGGATTATCTGGGCTCTTCTGGTCTCCACAGCAGTGAAGAGAAGGAAGAGGAGACTGTGAGAAAGGAAAAGGGAGACGACGACTGGGGGCTGGAACTGGAGGAGACAGAGGGGCCTCCGAACCATGAAGCAACGGCAAGTTCCTCCACATGAAGTCTTCCCACTTGTCTCCTCCAGGCAGTCCTCCAGGGATGCCCCAATGCCTTCTCCACACCCTGTCAGCAAAGGACATGGTCTTGAGGCCAGTAAGATGACTCTCTGGGATTCAGAGGTCTCAGAACCTGCCCCAAATCCCTCTCAGAGGGCTCTCTGTGTGTTACCTAGTGGTTCTGTACCCCTTCCCAAGCTTGGTCTCCACCTGATGATTCTTCTTGAGCTTGGAGGGCACCCCTGGAGAAGGAGCCGCCCACATCCCCCAACCCCCCACCCCCCACTGTCTCATGTCTCTTAACCCAGTCCATTGCAGGCATCTTTTTACCCAGCGCCTGATTTCTTTCCCCACCTCCAATTTCTGTCAGCTTTTGGATTTCATCGGAGAAGGCAGGTCCTCCTGTTGCCCAGGTGTAAGCTCTTCCAAGAGCTTTCTTTGAGTCCCAGTCCCTCTCCTGGCTGCTGTTCGCTGTCCCTGAACATGAACTTTGAGCTGGCTCAGAGCGCAGGGCTGTTTCTGGGAGATGAGGACTTCTACCATGTGCTGAGTTTCAGCACTTTGTCCTGCACGCTAGCACTCCCAGGGGGTGGGGTGAGGGTGCAGGGGTGGGAGTGGGTGGGCGACACAGGATCATTACTCCCTCTTCCTGTCCTGCACTCCTGGTGGGGAGGCTCCATAGAGAAGGAGAAGGGGCTGGAGTCCCCACTTCTTTGCTGTGTATCCCGGAGCAAGTAACTTAACCTCTCTGTGCCCAAGAGCCTAGTTCTGTAAAAGGAAAGAATAAATTCTTCTTAAGTTGTCATGAGGAACTGACTGAAATACTGTCTACAAAACTCCGGAGCGCTGGGCTCAGCACCCTAAAGGCATCCAACAAATAATCAGCTTTCTGTATGCTGAAATGGTGAGGATGGGGGTGGGGACAAATGAGCCTGTCGCCTCAGACTTGGGGGATCCTGAAGGTCAGAGAGCGTGTTTTCAGACGACAGTTCTGGGAGCGCAGTTTTCAGTCCCCCAGTTTCCTCCGTGCGAGGCCCGGGGCTTCCGCGTGGGTGGCCGTGCGGAGGGTGGGGCGGGAAGCGAGAAGCGAGGCGGTCTGGGCTCCTCCCTTTCCGCAGGGGCGGGACTTCCCTACCAGGAGGCGTCAGGGGGCATTTCGGGGGCGGTTTTTGGTTGTTGCAAGCGTGCCCCCTTTTTGGAATTTAGTGGGGAGCCAGTGCTGGGACAGCCCTTTCAAAGCCCCCAAATTGTTTTACCCCAGGGGCCAATGGATGAAAAAGACTCGGCTCTCCTTGAGATTAAAGGCCAGATTGAGCTCCCCGACCCCGGCTGAGCCTCGACCCTGGGATGAACCTGCAGGCTCCGGCTGAACCCTCCATCCCAGCTGAACCCCCACCAAGTTCAGCCCCTCACCCGAGATGAGCGCCCCATCCCGCAAAAGAAGCTCCTTCTAGGTCCCCTCTTCCCTCCCTCCCCCCCCCCCGCCTCCCCTTTCTCCCAAGCGGGACTGTGGGGTTCGGGGTCAGCTGACTCCTCTGCCCGGGACCCGGTTTCCGGATCCAAGTCCTAGGTCTGACCACAAGGGGGCGCCAGAACCTCTTCGCTGAGCGCAGAAGCGACTATCCTTTCTGGGAATGCTGCATGGGCATGGGAAGGGTGCGCGTCCACCCGGGGGTCCTGGGATCCGTCATCCCTGCCTCACGCCTGTGTCTTCTGCGCCTGTTACTGGGCGGCGGGGTGGGCTGCGTTTCTGGGTGTCCGCGTCAGCGCATCCTATCTGGGTCCCTCTCCGCTCATCTTGCCGTCTTTCTGTGCCTCAGTTTCCCCGTCAGTGAAAAGCCCCTCCACGGAGTGCGGGATGGCGTGTGGTAAGATGGAAGGAGACTGGGCAGCCGGGGAGCTTTGACTACATGTCTTGGGGTCTCTGGGGGACTGCTGGGGGATAGGATGGAGGACCTCCCCGCCAAGAAGGGGGAGTGACTACCCCTCACAGGCATAATGAGCGTCCCTGGTGGCTCAGATGGTAAAGAGTCCACCCGCAATGCGGGAGACCAGGTTCAATCCCTGGGTTGGGAAGATCCCCTGGAGAAGGGAATGGCTTACCCACTCCATTATTCTTGCTTGGAGAGTCCCATGGACAGAGGAGCCTGGTGGGCTACAGTCCATGGGGTTGCAGTTGGACACAACGGAGCCACTTCGATAGGCATGATATTTCCGTGCCCCCCACCCCCCTGTGGCTTTGGGGAGAGCTGGACATGAATGGTTCTGAGTGGCCAGGGGTGGGGTGGGAGAGACAGGGATGCTGGGTGCTGGGAGGGCAAGCATGGGCCCCACCTAGGCAGGTGGGTAGGGCCTCCTGGAGGTGAGCGTACAGGAACCAAGCCAAGCCCTGTCCCCTCCTCTGCCCACAGCCCGCCAGGGCTCCCACCTCCCTGGGGCTAAAAGTCCCAAGGCCTCTTGTGGCCCACAAACCCCTGCCCCCGCCTCCCCCTCCCTCACTCTGCTCAAGCCACACCGGCCTCCTCACAGTTCCCCCAACACACCCAGCACAGCCCTGCCCCAGGGCCTTTGCATGCTGTGTGCCTTTTGCCTGGAAAACTCTTCTGTCAGATTGTCAGGGGGCTGTTTCTTCTCTCCATTCAAACTCCTGTTGAAAGGTTACTTCCTCACATGAGGCCGACTCTCCTATCCCGTACTCTGCTCTATTTGTCTCCCTGGCATTTACATTTATTTTTATTGTTTATTTTCCGTTTTCCCAACTTTGAACTGTGCCACGAAGGCAGCTCATTTAGGGCATTTTGTTCTCCACTGTGTCCCAAGGGCTAGGTACCCAGAAGATACTCAGGGAATCTTTGCTGAATGAATGGGGTTTTGCGAGGTGGGGGGGAAACAAGGAAGGAAGGCAGTCTGTACGTTTATGGAACACTGACTGTGTGCCAGGCTTTGTCCCTGAAGCCAGGCAGGAGGTGGAATTACCTGAGCTGGCACAGAGCAGGTGCTCCATAGATGCCCATGGAACTTGTTGATCAAAGGCTCTGAGGAATTCCAAGACTGGTTTTCTGAGGCTACCTGCCCCTCCAGCCTCTTCCCTGCACTTTGATAAGAATCCGGAACAGCCCGAACGCAACACAGAAAGGAGGACCCAAGACAGCTAGAAAGAGTCGAAGCGTAGCTTGTTTAATTTTTATACATTTTTTTCTTTTTTCTTTTTTTTTTTGCCTTTTATTGAATCTTTTATGGAACCCCCCCTTTTCATTTTTTTTTAATTTTTTTTTTTTTTTTTTTGCATAGGGAAACAAACAAAATAATAACAGCCAGAGTCACTTTCTGTAAATGGTACTTAGGTAGGCGCGTCCGCGGAAACTGAAACGACTGCGTAATATACAAGGTTATGAAAGGAGTATGATGTGGGGGCACGGGGCAGGGGAGACAGGCAAGAAGAAGGCTGGGCCTAGGTCTGCCCGGATGTCCGGCTCCTTGTCCCCCATCCCTGCCTTGGGGAGGAGATGGGCAGTGGGCTGGCCTGGCACCAACCTTCTCCTGACATAGGTTCATGAGCATGGTGTGTGTGTGTGTGTGTGTGTGTGTGAGACAGAGAGAGAGAGAGAGATCCGGTATGTGTGGCAAGCAGAAAGCAAGAAACAGAGTAAACTATCCTGGTAATATTGGTAAAATACAAAATGGGGGCAAAAACTCTCAAAAAATATCTCAGAGGCGACAGGAAATGAAACAGCAACACCACCAAAAAATGTGAGAGAAAAAAAAGAGAAAGAGAAAATGCAGAGAGAAAACGAGTTTCCCTCCTTTCTCCCTGTTGCCTCCCCCCGACAACACGTGTTCTGTCCCTCAGACACCCTGCTGTCTTGCCCTCCCACCCACCACGTGTGGCCCTGGCAAGGGTCAGAGGGTGAGAAGTTGGGGGTAAGGGCCAGGACCCCTGGACTGGAAGGGGCTTTGGTTTCAGGGGGCCTGGCTGGGATCCAAGATGGGAGGCTGGGGTGTTGATGCATTTAGGGAGTGAGCTTTGGGGGCTCACAACCGGAGAGGGGCTGGGTAGCTCCTGGCCCCTTTCCAGTGGGTCTCCTTCTAGCCAGGTGGTGTGAAGGGCAGGAGTTTGGGGGGGGAGTGGGTCTTCCTCTCCTGGAGCCCACATTCCTGTTGGATCCCGCCTCCTCTTTCCTGAGGCCTGAGGGACCCCCTGGGAGTCAGGAAGGACGACCTCAAAGCTACACCAGCAGACGTGTGAGGCACTGCTTGGGAAGTCTGTTTTGGTATCGCTGGCAACAAGTCCTGCTGGGATTGCTTGGGGTCTCCTTGCTTCGCCTGGGGAGTGGGGTGGGGTGGGGTGGGGGTGGGCCTCCGGGGCCAGCTCGGACCCCACACACTCTGAAATGCTTAGGGATAGATCGATGGGGGGGAGGCGGTGTCAGTTTGGAGATGCGGCTCTCAGGAGGTGTCCGAAGGGGCAGAAAGATGGAAGGATGCAGGAGATGTAGGACCTGAGGACATGTCTCTGGAACCTCTCTCCCATCATCCTCCCTAACCCAGCCCCCCCACACACACAAAGTAAAAATCAGGGGTCTCAGAGAGAGAGAGAGAGACTCCAGGCCAAAATAAAAAGTAGCCACTGTATAATCTGTATTATGAGAAAAAAATTCCAAAATTATACATATATATATAATGTATAGTATAGCCCTACACTGGAGGTCAAAGTACCATCAGAGAAGCCAGAGGGAGTGGGTGGCTGGGGTCCCGTCTCTCCCAGAGGGCTGGATGGCTGCTCCTGGCCCCGGGATCCTGCCTCACTGGTAGCTGTCCAGCCAAATCTGCTTGCTCCTGGAACGCTGCTGTCTCCCGGGACAGAGGGAAAGTTCCAGAGCTGGGGGTGGGGTGGGGGTGGGGGTGCTGAGGCTGAAACTGTCTGCTGCTTGGGGAGCTGCAGCAGAGCCCCCTCCCCGCAGCCTCCCTTGGGGTTTCCTTCCGGTCTGATTGTCTAGCTCAGGGTGGGAATCTGGGCTCATAACCCTGCCAGAATGTGGGTCCCAGACGTGGGCACTGGGGACCCCGGACCCAGCCTCCCTCCCCAGGTCAGATAGGGTGGGGTCGGCTTGCCTCTCCACACCTCCCTCTCCACCCTGGTCGAGTCTGCTACCTCCCTCCAAAGAGAGGGATGGAGGTGATTTGCATATATTGGGGAGGTCTCCCTAAGTCTTTTCCACAGCAAGCTCCGGACCCCCAAGGTCAGGCTGGGGACTCTGCATGGGACGGGCTATGAGTGAGGGGGTGACCGTGGGCTTGGGAGGGGATGGGGTTTGAGATGTCAGTTTCATAAGTGTCAAAAAAATACAAAAAACAAAAGCACCCAACACCCTGCCCTCCCCGCTCCCAGGGCATGAACCCCAACCGCATTGGCAGGTGGGAGCCTGGTCCCTGGTGTTTCTGCCTTATTCTGACACACAGCAGGCAAGGAAGGGAGGGGCCCTGAGCCCGGGGTGCTGTGGGGTGCAGTCATGAGGGACACCATGGTCCGAGGTGAGCCTATGGAGGAGGTGTCCCACAGGGACATGCCACCCACTCCCCGTGCCACTGGCTGTTCCCACTTCCCTGGTGGCGGGGCGGGGAGGGGGATGAAAGCCAGAAATGGGCCCGATGGAGCCTGACAAGCAGGGCCTTGGGCTCTTGGGCCAAAGGGCCGCTCAAGGGCGGGGTCAAGGCCGGGGCCTGGTCTCTCCCTCTGGCCCTGGGGCTGGCTGAGGGGTCTTTTTCGGAAGAAAACATGGCATGAGCAGAGTGGTAGATGAGAGCCAGGGTCTGGCTGCAAGGCCCCAACCAGCTCTGTAGACAATTCTAACATCCAAGGTGGTGGCGGGGAGTGAATGGGGACTGCCCGCCTAGCATATGCCGACGGAGACGGCGAGGAGGGATGGGCCCAAGGTTGGTGGACCCAGCCGCGGGGTCCTTGCCTGGACACTTCACTGACTGCTACTGTCTCGGCTTTGGTAGAGTTAAAGGCAGAGAAAATTGGAGGAGAAAAAAAAAAGGAAAGAGAGAAAGAAAAAGAAGGCAGAAAGGAAAACAAGAGAAAATAAAACTGAAGAAAAGACAACAGCAATGGCCGGCCCCTTGGACGGGGCCTGTGACGCGGTGCCCCCAGCCGTCCCTGCCCCCAACCCCCCGGCCGGGCCTCCATGGCTGAGCTAGACCTTACAGGTACAGACAGACAAATATTGCATATATCGGGTTTGGTTTTGTCTTTTTGTTTGTTTCACACCAGACCCCCTCTGCAGTCACAGCTGGAAGACGTAGTAGAACTGGGGGGGTGGGGGTGGGGGTGGCAGGAGGGTCCTTCCTGCCACCCCAAGGCCAGTCTATGGGGATGGGTCCTTTGGCAAGAAGGAGGGGGCTGCATGGGGTAGTGAGACAGCGATGCGACCCTGAGCCAGGGGGATGCCAGCCTGTGGGAGAGGTGGCGGGGGGAGTCTGGCTGTCAGCAGGGTGGCCGCCCCAGGGTAGGGGGGGTGAGAACGCGTAGGTGCATGCACGGCGTCTGGGGGGGCTGGCCTGTGGCCCAGTGAGGGGAGAAGCCCTTGCCTGGGGCCAGGGCACACCCCTGAGGTCTGTCCGCTGCTGTGGGCAGGGGATGCGAAATGACCCCTCTGGAGCCCGAGGATGGGGCCGGGGGGGTTGCAGAGCACCAGGGGGCACCCCCAATGCAGCAGGAGATGGGGAGACAAGAGCCCAGGGCAGGCTGGGGGCAGGGCAAACTGTGGGGTGATTGTTGCGTGCATTGCTTTTTTTCCTTTAAGCAATGTGATTTTTAAGTGTGTGATTTTTTTTTAATTCTTAATTTTTTTTTTTTTACAAATAGAAATACATCCCTTTTCAATTTTTACTTTTTATTTCATGTCATTGTTTTGTCTTTTTTTCTTTTAAACTACACGAGCAGTGCATGCAGCTATCTGTGTGCGCTGATATTGTTTAAAGGTAATACTTATTCTCGGAAGGCAAGGCACATCATGTGATAGAAAATTTCGTGCAAATTAGGAAACATGGAATTTTTTTAAGGGTTTTTTTTTTTTTTTCTGTATCTTTTTTTGTTTTCTTTTAAAGAGGAGGAGGGTGGTGGTGGAGGGCTGGAGTGGGGGGTGGCGTGGGGAGGGAGATAGAGCCAGTATCAATTGCCATGCAGTTTCAGCCGCCGCGAGCTGAAGTCAGGAGCCAGGTCACAGAAATCCTCGACTAAGCACCATGCAAAGTTAGGAAGCTGGGGGCTGCCGGGTGCCCCTTCCCCTTCCCTGCCTACCCGCACCCTCAGGTTCCCGGCTGACAAGCTTCCGGATACCCCAACTGCACAACCCACCCCTCCTGCCCTCCCCCAGAGCGGCCCCCGCTTTTGTCTCCAGTGGCCACCTGCTGCAGGGGCCCTGGGGACAGGCGGACGGACCAAGGGTTCTCGAACCCCTCCGGACAGTGGGGGTGCAGCTGGTGGGGAAGGGTCTTGTGTGTGGGGGCTGTCTTTCTCTTTATGATCGAGTGGGTTCGCCAAGCCCCTTGGGCTGGTTTGGGAGGAAAGTCTGGTGTCTGGGGAGGTGGGAGGAGGCTGGCCAGGCCCGGGGCACCGGGGGTTTACCAGGAGAGGGAGAGGTGGGTCAGGCTGGGAGCAGTGAGCGGAGGCCCTCCCAGGGCCATGGCTTTGGCCTAGGCCGGGGATGGGGGTCGGCATTCCCCAGCGCCAGGCATGGAGACCAGTTGGGATTCAGACTGATGGGCCGGAAGGGGTCTTTGTGTTTGGGCCTGGTGACCCCAGAACACCAAGCACCCCTTCCCAGGCCCCCTTTCCCAAGATGGCCATCCCGGGGAGGAGCATGGATGGGCCGGGAAGCCGGGGCAAAGGCACCCCGTGTCCCCAGCTTTAGTGTTTTTGGAGCGGCTCAACGGAAAATGTTCAGCAGATGGGAGGCCCCCCTACATGGCAGAAGGGAGCCCCAAGGCGCCGACCTCCCCGCCCCCAGCTGGAGCCCCCAGCCCTGTTCTGGACCTCAGGTGGCCTGGCCCCTCTCCTTCTGGCCACCCAGAGGCGACGCCTCCTGGCTGTGCCCCACTTCGGCAGGGGGTGGGGGATGAAAGTGCAAACCGTGGTCCCCCTTTGGGCCGGGAGGCACCAGGGAGGGGCTGTCGCTCCAGGATGTAAGGCACTGGCAGAGGAGGCGTAGGGGCGGAGGGGCACACCGGCTTCTCAAGACCCCAGCCCCCCTACCCCAGCGGGGCAGGATGCCAGGAGGAGGCCCAGCTCTGCCCCTTGGACCTGCTGGGGGCGGGGGTTCCATCTCTCTAGCTCTGATGGGGGCATAGCAATGAGGGGTCAGCAACTGAAGGGGCCAGGTTGCGGGAGAGGGAGAGGGGAGGCCCACGGCCACTCACGTCCCAGCTGGACACAGGGGAGGGGGGCGGGCGGTGGAAATCAGGCACTTAAACCACTCGCTCTCACCTCCCACCTCCACGGGCTAAAGTGGGGGGGTCCTCCCCAGTTCAAGGGTTGGGTGGATAGAGAGACCAGAGCAGCCCTCAGGCCCCTCTGCTCCACTGCCCCCAGCCCCTTCCTTGGAAAGTGCATTTCTTACAGTGTGTGCAACGTGGGGCCCTCCCAGGGTGGGTGGGGGGGTGTGTAGCCGGTGGTGGGGGCTGGGGTGCGCTGGGGTGGCCTCCTATGCCTGGGGTGGGGCTGGGGGTCATTTGCATAGAGACGTCTCCCAAACCCGGCGGATGCGGAGGGGCTTCGCACGAAAGAGCAGGTAGAGGTCCATGCCTGCTGGATGCTCCTTCGCCGAGTATCCGCCATATGTCCTAGTGCCCTGGCCTTGCCGGGGTCTCCCTGCCACCCTCTTCTGGCCCCGTCGCCCCCTGCCCACCCAGCCGCCTCCACTGCCTGCTGCTGGGGTCCTTGCTGGCCCCCCAGGGCCTGCCTCCCCAACCTGGCAAACACTGTCCCGGAGGTGGCGGTGGGCGCGCGGGTGGAGAGGTGGCCTCACTGGGTGTCCTGCCCCGTGGGCCTGGCGTGGGCTCCAGGCTGCGCTCACCTGGTCCTGGGAGGAGGCGGGGGTGGCTGGGCCTCCCTGACCAGCAGCAGCAGCAGCGAGAGGAGATGAATAACTTAGGACGATCCCGAGCGTCCGGTCCGTCCGGCCGTGGTGTCCCGAGAGTCCGAAGCGTTGTCATCTTTACTGTTTATCTTCTTGATTGAGTGGGTTTATTTTTATGTATTGTAATTTTCTCCCCCGTTTGTCTTTTTTTTTTTTTCTTTTTCTTCCTCAGGTGTTTATGTGTCTTTGTGATTTTGTCTTTCGGCCGGGCTGGGAGTCGGCGGCGGGGTGTTCTTGCTTGCTGTAGCTTTCCACCGAAAATGTGGGCCGGGGGCCGGCTGTGCGGCCCCCTGGGATTCCTGGGACGAAGGAGCAGGGCGTGGGAGGAAATCTTTCTTATCCCAGATACCAGGACTGGGCGGCCGGAGGGAGACAGAGAGAGAGAGACAGAGAGACGGGGTCAGACTCCGTGGGCCACAGCCTATACCCACTGCAGCCCCTCGACCCCTGGAACCTGTGACCTCTGTCCCAGACTTAGGTAACCTGCTAGGTGACTCTGGGCAAGTGACTGGGTCCCTAAGCAGGGCTGCTGGATAAAACTCAGGGAGTTCAGTTACACCTGAATCCTGGATAAACCTTTTAGTATATATCCCATGCAACTTTTGGGATATACGTGTGCTTTAAAATTTTTTTTTAGAAAATTCTTTATCTGGAATTGTGGTTTTGTTTGCTAAATCTGGCAACCCCACCTCCAGCCCTGAGTATAAATGCGGGAGGGGATACTCTCACTAGTCGGAAGAGAGCCACTGGTGAATCTTTACAGACAGGCACCGTGCCCAGGCGCTGTGACGGGTTGTTTGTTTCTTCTTTACTTTTAACATTTCCCATTTAATGGTTCCCCCAGAACCCTCACGAAAGAGGGACTACTGCCCCCCGACCCCGTTTTGCAGTGAAGAAGACAGGGGCTCAGAGAGGTAAAGTAACTTGCTTAAGTCCACCAGCGTTTGAGGGAAGAAGACAGCATCTGAACTATGGCCTGAGAAGCTACTTGTTTGTCCCCCTGCCTGGGGCTGACCCCTTAGCCTGGCCTTTGAGGGGGTCATGACTCCCACTTTACAGAGGGGGAGACAGAGGCGTGGGGTCAGGCAGCCAGGTCTATAGGGACAGCTCTGGCCTAGGTCCCCACAGGGAAGCCGATTACAGTCCCTTCCCCTGGAAATGCGTCCAGTCCACCTGGGGAGTGGGACTGGGGTAGGGAGCCCCTGGACCCATCCCACTGAGGTCACAGCAGCACTGTGCCCCCACACCTGCTGTAAACCAGTCACACTCCAACCGGGTGATCAATCCCACCAGGCCGCCTGCAGCCGCTGGGCCATCCTATCGAACTGGCGCCGTGGCTCCCAGCCCCCCACCTCCAGCCAAGTTCAAGTTCATCTTGGCCATTACCTCATGTCTGGTTTCCGTTGGCAACCAGACAGATTCTGGGCGTGACCCTCCCCTGTGGTGGCCAGCCTCCCCAGGCCCTTCCTCCCTGCCTCCTCCCCTCCTAAGCTCTCTGCCCGACTCTGGCCCCCGTAATGGTAGGGCGGGGGGAGGCACCCTCAACTCAACATCCTCCCCCATCAGCTGAGGGGGAGACTGAGGCCGCACAGTGCCAACAGTGAGGTCTGGGCTCTGTCACCCCCTGGCCTGGCTGGAGCCCCCATTGTGGCTCTGGGCACATGGCTTAAACACTCAGGCCCTCTGCTCATCTGCTGACCAGGTGTGATGGGCAGAGGACTGGGGGAAAATGCTATGCCAGGTGGACCCACCCCTTCACACAGGAGGGGGGGTGGAGGTGTCAGACCCCACAGAGCCCTACTCTGGAGGCCAAAGTGATGGCTGGCTCAGGACTGCGGCAAAGGGGTGGGATGGTGAGAGATGGGGGTGGGGAGATGAAGAAGGTAGGCAATTGATCAGGGAGAGATCAGTTGCCATTGATTAGAGGAGGGGCGCTGATTGGGGTCAGAGAATATTGATCAGGGGGCCAGGCGCTGATGAGGGTGAGGGCAGGAGATAGAAGTGGGGATGGGAGAAGCCGATGCAGGCTGGGAGGTGGGGCGGAGGGGGGGTGGGGGGCGCGTGCAGAGGAGAGCCAACCCGCCAGGAACAAGGAAGGCGGAGGAAGTGCTGACTGTGCCAGAAAGAGGAGGCCTCTCCGCTCTGAGCCCTTAGCACAGGGGCTCCGAGGGGGGGAGCGGGTCTCGCGGCTCCTTCCTCCCCCTTCCCTCCCTTTGGGGTCTGCCGGGGTCGGGGGTCCCCTTAGTCCAGGGACCCAAGATCCTGCCTACACAATCTGGAAGGGTCCTCCATCCAACACCTTCGCTGCCCCCTGACACCAGCCCCACAAAGTTCTTTCTGGCTGCCAGCCCTGGCTATGCACACCCCACCCCCCGCCCCCGACCTCTTCCATGGCTCCCCTGGGCCCCCAGGGCAAAGCCCACGTCCCATGCCTGCCAGCTATGCTCAGGCTGCTTCCCCATTATTTCCACCCCTTGGCAGCGCTGAGCCCCCTGCCCGGACACCCTCATCCTCTGTCAGACAGCAGGCTCCGACTCCTCCCCTCCCAGGCAGGGGCCCAGATGCCCCCTTCCCCAGGTTCCTCCACAGTCCCAGTCCCACCCTCTCTGGGTCCCCAGTAGGGCCTGCTCACCAAGCAGGGGGTGACCATAAGCACAGAGAAACAAAGGTTCCTGCCATCCACCTGCCTTGGTTTCCCTCCCCTTCCAGGCTGTCCACTTGGGGTGACCCCCTCTCCCCCCCATGCAGAGGCTGATGATAGGGGAGGTGACACAATGGATGGGGGAGACCGGGGCAGGGTGAAGAAGGTAGGCCGCAGCCGTCCGTTGCTTTTATTAGCTTTGGTTTCGGAAGCAATTAGGACATGCCCAGCCTCCAGTGGGGAGGGCTGCCAGGTGAGAGTGGGAGAGGAAATTCCTGGCTCCCTGAGCACTCTGGGGGCAGGGGTATCCACACCAGGATAGAACTCAAAACCCAATCGGAAGGGGGATGGCCTGGGGCTGCGCTAGCTCAGTAGGTGACCCTGACCAAGTGATCCCTCTGTCTGGATCCTGGCCAGGGCTCAGTGAGGGGGGATACTTAGTATTCTGGGTGTGCGAGGGGCGGTCCTGGCCTTTCCTTGCCCTTTCTGGATCAAACTGGTCCCCTGATGCTCCAGACCCTTCAAGGACTCCCCAGGAGGTGCCCAAGGCCGGAAGAAGAGACTGAGGTTCAGAGTGGGTGAAGAAGAGCTGGGCACAAGCCCTTGTCTCCTGACCCCAGGACTCCCAGCTAAAGTCTAGGAAGGGAGGGAGGGGGACTGCAAGGTCCCCCCAACTCTGGAGCGCCTGAGCTGCCAGCAACAGCCAGGGCAGCCTTGAATGGTTCCCAGGGGGCCAGGCTATGGCGGGAGGTTCTTTGGGCCTCCCCAGCCTGGCTAATTCTGATCTCAGCGGAGGAAGGGGGACATGGCTACCTGTCCACCTCTTGCCCTCACCCCTGCCCCCTGCCCGTGGACTCTGTTGCAAGAGATCACTCTCTCACAGTGGCTTGAGGATCTGAATGTGACCCCTGGGGACCCTGCAAATCCCCATGCTCTATGGTCCTGGGGAGCCCCAGGACGTTTCTTTGTGCGTCTGGGACTCAGAGGAGCTGCAGCAGCCGTTTTACATCCTGTGATCCCGTCCTCAACACGCACCAACCAGGGAGCATGGCTCAGGGGTACAGCCACCACCGTCCAACACCACCTGCCAGCACCTTCCTGGCCTGCACACAACACGGATACGGATGCCAGACCAAAGGTGGGAGCTGGGGACACACAGGGAGGGGCTGAGGCCACCTCCTGCCTCGAGAGATGCTGGGAGCCACGGGTCTCAGTTCCAGACACATTGAGGTTTGGCCCCGCAGTGCTGCGCAGCCTCAGGCGACTCACTCCTCCTCTCTGAGCCTCCTTGTCTTGTCCTCAGCCAGCCCTAGTCCCCACAACCTGGTGCTCTCAGGGGCAGTGATGCCAACCCCACCTTCGCTATCTCCCTCCCACCTCACGGGCTAGAGCCTGGGGTGGGGGCCTGCATGCTCTACCGGGAGGCCCCACCCCCCTGCCATGGGCTGCCTTGGCTTCCCCAGCTTCCCCAGGCATCCTGGGATCCCTTGCCACCCGCTGCCTCCCTCTGGCCAGCATGGGAGGGGATGAAGGTTGGGGGTCTGAAAGCTCGGGCTGATGCAGTGTGTGATCCTGGACAAAGCCCCTCTCCTCTGAGCCTCAGTCTTCCCATCTGTACAGATAGGACCAGGGCAGTGACAAGCCCAGTCCCACATCCCCTGGCGGGATTTGGGGCTTCAGCATATCCCCCAGTATGGGCTCAAGGCCCTGGAAGGAGCTGGCAGGCGGGTTCCCCGGCCACGCTCAGCAGCCGCCACGCCAGAGGTACAGCTGGGGGAGGGCTCCCTGCATGCCCTGCCGGCCCCTCTGCCCTGCCCCTCCCCACCCCCGCCAGCCGGCCTCTTGGCCCCTACCTGTGCCTGATAAATGCCCGCTGGATCCCTTGGTCCTAATCCCACAAAGGAACGGTTTGCAGGGGACGTGCCGGGCGTAGAGTAGGCTGCGAGGAGGAGAGAGACCGAGAGCCCGTTAGCGCGGGGGCAGCGCGGGAGCACCAGAGAGGGTGGCCGCTGCTTAGGGTCAGACAGCCAGGCCTGCGCACCCAGCACCCGGCGCCTCTGAGCTGGCCGCCCTCCCCCGGACGGTTCGGGCACCCCGAAAAGCCCACAGGCTCAGGCCCCCGGGGTCGCACGGGCTGGTGTCTGCCGGGAGGGAAGGCGCGGGATGAAAGATTCATAATCCAGAAACCGCCTGTGAATTATTCAGAGAGTTCCAGTGCCTGGTCCATCCTGCTCCCGTGGCCTGCCTCCCGCCGTGCGGGGTGCCATGAATTATTGAGGGCGTTTTATTTATTAATTTCCCTCCTGGAGAGGGCTCGGGGAAGGCTGGGTGCACACACGCAGCATCTTTGTATTTTAATCTCACTGATCACGCTTTGCGGGTGAGGGAATGATTCAAAATCCAGGCTGGGGTTGGGGGGAAGTGGGTGGAGGAAGGGTCCCCGTGTGTTCTCCACTGGAGCAAGGGTAAGTGGGAGGCAGTGAGGCTTGGGGAGCTTGCGGGGGGAAAGCAGGCTGGACCTGCGGTAGAGAAGTTGGTACAAGGCAAAAGAGAAAAAATCCACATTCACTCCCAGTCTATTATGTGTCTACTGTATACCAGGCAGTGGGCAGCATTCCAGGGTTAACTCAGTGGCCTCAACACAGCAGACAAGACTATTCTGCCCATTTCACAGATGAGGAAGTAGGGCGAGGAGGTGATGACCAGCCTCTCATGCCAACTCTGTGCCCTGCGCCTGCCTCCTACTAAGTGTTCTCCCTGATCTGTTTCACTGACTTGCTCCACACCGCCCCTGGTGACTGTCCCAATTTGCGGCTGAGAAAACTGAGGCTCAGAGAGGGGAGGACAGTTGCCCAAGGTCACACAGGGAAGGAGCTTCAAGGGTGGGATTGGAGCCCAGCATCCCAGTGCTGCATCTTGGTGTTTGGAGAAAGATGTCTACTTGTGAGGCTGCCCCGGGTCTTGGCAGGCAGTGGATGCTGGGGAAGAAACTCTAGGGGTGGGGGTGCTGTGTGCAGGGAGGGGGCCGATAGGGCCCAGAGGGAGGGCTGGCCCCTCCTGTTGGGGGGGTGGTGAGGAAGCTCATTTGGGGAGTGAGGGAGAGAGAGACCTTCACAAAGATGGGGCTCAGGGGGAGGCTGGGGGCAGAGCCATGGCTGATGGGGATACCTGGACCAGGGTGGGGGGGCTACTGGGGGCTGGTGAGCTGTCATCTCTCCAGCCACATCCCGAAAGTGGAAAGCTCAGGCAAGTTAGGAGGTCCAGCCAGGGCCTCCCACTAGGCTACCACCCAGACCTACATCTAGAGAGCAGAAAGTTCTAGAAGGCGGGGCAGCCACCCCTGCCCTCCTGGGGACAGACGGGCAAGTGGGGACTGTCCCATCTGAAGGTGTGGCCCAGACTGGCAGCTAGGAACAGAGCCCGCTGTAGCCAGTTTTCCCCGAGAATCCAGGGGAAATCTGGAAGTTTTACGTGAAATGTCCTGACTTTAAAACAGCAACCATTATAACAGATTCCCCTTTTTCACAGACAGAAGGCACCTGGGGGCCGGGTCTGGCCCTCCCGCCTCCAGTTTGAGATCTTCCCCTACTGCTTGTTGTGCAGAGGAGCGTTTGGAGCCTGGGTACGGGAGTGGGGGTGGGGTGGCACACGGGGGGCCCTAGGCCACTCAGCCAATGGAGGCAGACCCCAGGCTTGCCCCCAGCCATCTCCTCAGGCTGCCTTGGCCCTGCGTGGACCAGGCCTCCATCTGGGGACCCACCAAACTCGCCGGCACGCACCGGGTGGGCCTAAGCCCTCGACCCCAGCAGTGGGGCAGGGGAGGGGAGGGGCCCCTGGGGACGCCTTCCTGGGTGCTTACAGGGCGAGGTTGGCGACGAGCTTCCTCCCTCGGAGGTGGGTTTGGTGGCAGGGGGGAGCGCCAGCCGCGGCAGCCCGGGGGGCGGGGGTGCCAGCATCTGAGCAGAAAGGCAGTGACTGGACATTTTGAGCTGGCCACTTCCATTTAACTGGGGGGAACAGAGAGACAGGTGGTTAAGGCGGCGGGTGCCCCCTCCGCCTCGGGCTGCTGTCCACCCCGGGGCTGTGGATGGGCCTGGCAGGGACGAGTTTGGTGGGTACCCAGGGCTGGCCTGGCTCCGCAGGCCTCCAGCATCCTGGGATGGCCATATCATTGCCGCCTCCTCAAGCCACTTTGTGCCCACTTCCTCCTAAACAGGATCAGTACCACCAGACCTCACGGGCGGCCTGGACACATCTCCCTGCGTTCACCAAGAGTACCCCTTCATCCATCACCTCGCCCACAGTCCCCAGGTCCAAAAGCCTCCGAACATCAAAGCTTTGGTGGAAGTTTGGCCAAAGCCAGCCTGAGCTCAGGAGTAATCGCGTCTGATTTCAGGGTCGTCCGCTCAGACATTTGAAACAGGCTAAGTTCCCACTGGTCTGACTCCAGGGGCTGCGGACCCAGGTGTTTGCAAAACAGAAGCTGCCCGGTGGGAGGAAAGGCCGCCTGACACTCATAAACGATGCCCTGGGGTCCCCGGGGTGGTCGCGCCGCCCCACACTCACCGGTCCAGGCTGCTGACTGGCCGGGTCACAGGCCAGCGAGACGAGATCTTTGAGCGGGTCCTGGGGGTTGAGGTGAGGCGGGTAGCGGATGGCCGTGTGCGGGAAGTAGGTAGAGGCCGTCTGGGGCAGGATGGAGGTGGTGGGGAAGTGCAGGGCTGAGGACGGGTGAGGGCTTCGGGCGATCCCTGTAGAGATGGGGGTTGGGCAGTGGTCATCCGGGCTCCCGCTGGGCTGCCCTGTCTCAGAGTCACTGTGTTTATGCAAGTGGGTTACGCCTACATCTCCACCATGAGCCCACAGGGACCTGGAATCACCCCTTTTACAATTTTTATTCATTTAAAAAAATTTATTTATTGTTATTTTTGCCATGCTGCATAGCTAATGGGATCTTAGTTTGCTAACCAGAGATTGAGCCCAGGCCTCGGCAGTGTAAGTGTGGAGTCCTAACCACTGGACCACCAGGAAATTCCGCTGTCCCTTTTGTTAAACAGAGGACGACTGTGACTCTCAGAGGGACCATCCCCTGTTCTAGCCACACAGTAGGCAGGTGGCAGACCTGGGGGTCTGAGCCCACACTGACTGGCCCCACAGCCCACATCTTGACCCAGGGCTCAGCTAGCTCTTTCCATAAATGGAAGGTGGGCCAATTTTTTAAAAAATTAAAAAATATCATTTGCACACTATAAAATACACCCTCTGAAAGTGTACATCCAGTTTCCTTTTTAGCACATTCACGGAGCTCTTTTACAATATTCTCATATCCACCAAAGGAAACCCTGTTCCCATGAGCAACACTCCTATTCCCTCCCCAGCCCCTGATAAGCAGGAACCCACTCTCTGTGGCCATGGATCTGCCTGCTCTGCACGTTTCCCATCAGTGGAATCACACCCTGTGTGTCCTCTGGGCCTGCTTCTCTCACTGAGTGTCGTGTTCTCAGGGTCCATCCATGTGGTAGCGAGTGTCAGGGCTTCTCCCCTTTTCATTGCTCAGTAATAGTCCAGTGTGGCATTTGCTTTTTTTGTTGTTGTTGTTCTAAATAATTCAGTGACAGTTTTAATTCCAGAATATCTTCTTTCCCCGCAAAAGAAGCCCTGTATCTATTAGTGGTCACTCCCCTTTATTCTCTCTCTCTGGCCAGACAGTAAATATTTTTGGCTTTCCAGGCCATAGGGTCTCTGATAGGGCTACTCAGCTCTGCCCGTGTCGCCTGAAAGCTGCCACAGATGATGAGTACATGGCTGGGTGTGGCCCTGCGCCAATAAAACTTTATTTACAAGAACAGGTGGCAGTTGGGTGCCCTGCTTTGCTGGGTCCCAGTCTAAACTGCTGTGCTATCTTGACTTCTGCCTCTGTCCTGTATACACACCTGCCTTTGTATGGCACTAAATCATTATTATCACAACCAAGGGACAACAGATGACATTCAGGTTCCTGTTTAACTTATTCTGATTTAACTCATTTGGTCCTATGGACAGCCTTGAGAGGGGGACATTTAGGAGCCCTGATGGACGGGTGGCTGGCTTAGCTCAAGCCCTGTGGTGGCTAGAGTCTGTCTCTGCTGCTGTGAGTGTGATGCTGCCCATGTGGGCGGCCAGGAGCGCCCATATTCCTGTGTGGCCTTCTTTTTTTTAAACTTAAAAAAAATTTTTTTCATCTTTTTGCCACACCAAGCAGCGTGATCTGGGATTTTAGTTCCCCAACCAGGGATCAACACATGCCCCCTGCAGTGGAAGCACAGAGTCTTAACCGCTGGACCACCAAGGAAGTCCATGTGTGACGTGTGTGTGTCCTCTGTGTCTGCCTCTTTTGTGGCTATCCAACCCCGGGATCTGTCCATGGGTCACTTGAGTATGACAAATGGGGAGCAGGTTGAGAGGTGAGCCCCTGGCTGCACCTCTTGATACAAAAGGGGAAACTGAAGCCTCCAAAGAGTCAGGCCTGGGTGCTCTCTGCCACAGCACCTGCAGGCTTTCTTGCCTGGATGGGAGGATACAGCAATAGGACTTGTGGTCAGACAACTGGTGGGACTTCCTTGGCTGCAAGAGGCCTGTTAAGAGGGCCCAGCCACCCCTCCATGCCTGGGGCCCGCAGTGCTCACCACTGTGCACGGCGATGACGGGCCGGTGGTGCTGGGTGAAGCTGGAGAGGCGAGGTGAGTCCTGGGGAGATGGGCTGTTGAAAGGAGACTTGTCCATCTCTGTTTTCTTCACTGGGGATGAGATGCCTGTGAGGAGAGCCAGACAGTCAAGGGCCTGCAGGCAGGGTCTCTCCACTCCTAGGACCCTTGGACCTCCCCGCAGAGCCCGTGCCCATCCTTCCACCAGCCACTCGTGGGTGAGAGGCTGGGAACCCATTGTAGAGAGGGCAAACTGAGGTTCAGAGCTGGGAAGGGGGCCACCCAGGGTCACGTGGCCCATGGGGATGAGGGGCCTAATGCCCCATGGGCCCCTGGATGACAAAGCCTGGCCCCATCTTCTCTTCTTCCAGACATGGGTCAGCTCAGGGCTGCCCTCATTCCCTGGGGGACGCCAGAGCTCTGGAGAAGGCAGCTGGGTGGGAGAGGGGAAGGTCTGGCCCAAAGTCCGAGTGGCTCTGTGCTTGTGCCCCCGGCATCCTTACTGGGGGTGCAGAACCTTCCCTCTGGAATCATTGTGACTATTAAATGAGATACAGCAGGTAAAATCGTCAGATTAGGATCCAGCACAAACCCCTGCGCTGGAATCACCTGCTTCCATTCCTCTGCAGATAGGGGTCTCACTACCTACCCTGAATGCCCTGGGGGAACCCAGAAGGTCTCCAGCTCAGCCTCAATGATTGAAAGAATGGTATAAAGGAAGTGGACCCTGTTTCTGGGGTCTCCTGCCATGGTTGTGAGCTGACACTTGCATGTGTCCCTAGCGCTGTCCCATCTGGGACACTTGATGCACCCTCCCTCCCCTCCTCCCTGAGGCATTTCATCATAGGGCGCTTCTGGTAGCTGCATTAGCACCACTGGGGGTGGGGGTGGGGGCGTGAGCCCAATCCAAGAGTCAGGCCCGTTAAGAGCATTCAGGCCACCAACTGCTTTTGCCATTACAAAGAACACTGCCCTTGATGGCTCTGGGTGCGCACCCTCTGTGTGTGTGTGTGTGGGGGGGCGCGGGGAGGGTGGTGGCATGTCCTGGGATGTGGCTGGCAGCCCAGAGGGACCAGGCAGCGAAGTAGGGGCTTGAGAGCAGGTCTGGGCTTTCCCATGGATAGGAGGAGCTGGCAGGGCCCAGAGCAGGGTGTGTATGTCCCTGCAGTCACGGACAGTGTATGTATGCACACACACGTTTGCATGCACAGTGGGCACCAGGCTGGTGCATGGCTGTGGCGAGAATGAGGTTAGGCTGTCAGACGCTCACTTAGGATCTCCTGGAACAGCCTGTCCTGTGTGGAAACAGCCCGGCCCGGACCCATCCCCAGCTAAACCTCCGCAGGCCTTTTTAGAGCTTCCAGAGACCTGCTTGAAGGAGCCAGGGTGTGGGGTGGGGGCAGGGAGGCACCCGCATTGCAAGAAAGAGTCACCCTCGTGTTCCACACCCCCATCTGATGCTCCTGCATCTGAACATCTCTAGTTCGTCCAACACACACACTGGGAAGAGCCCCACATGTGCAACCGTGGCAGTTAACACTGCCCCTAGGTGCCCCATTAAAGTAAGCGTCTCTCCACTTAGCAGGTGTGCCCTTGACCTCTCCATCCTGATGCAACCGGCCATCTTTCTGTTCAATATACCTATCTATACATCCTCCTTGAGCATTCCTACGCCGCCAGTGGAAGATACGCACCTATCTGGAGACAGGTGCCAGTAGGGGCCCCGCTTCCCCAGCATCTTTCCACCTGCTTGTCACCCATGCCTGTCTGTCCCCCATTGAAGCACACACTCTTCATCTAACAGGGAGGCCTGCACCTCCCCCATCTGAGACCCACAAACTAGCCCATACCCCTGCAGCCCACCGTGGTGGAGCCTTCTAGTCTCCAGGGCCCACGACACGGCATGGGCAACGGGTGTGCAGAGTGGATGGGTGGGCGGAGCACAGTTCCGGTAGGAACCGCCACCGCTCAGTGGGCACTCACTATGTGGGATGCTCTTCCCAGCACTGCTGATCTCAGCCGGTCACCCTCTGTGGGGCCATCCTGGGCTCTGTGGGATGTGGAGCAGCCTCCCTGGCCCCACCCACTCAAAGCCAGGAGCCCCCCCCGCCCCCCACCCCCAGTCATGATGACCAGAGATGTCCCAGACATCACCCAGTGTCCCTTGGGGGCAGAGATGACCTGGGTGAGGACCCTCTGTGAGACCCTGGGGAGCTAAAAGGTGGTGAAGCTGGGACTCAATCCCAATTTGTAACCACAGGCAATGCTCTGCCCCCCTCACCCCCGCAAAGTTAAATAAGGGATGAGGTAAGCCAACCCCCCTCCTCACAACAGAATAACTGCCTGTGAAGGGCCTGTGTCCTCTGGCGAAGGGCCACAGAAGCAGTAAGAGCAGAGAACTCTGGGATCCCCTCTTTGCCAGGCTTGGCTGAGTAATCGGGGAAGGCCTCGGGGAGGAGGTGGCCACGTGAATAGGCACTCTTGGCACTCCTGGCCTGGGCATGGAAGGTGCAAAGGCCTGGAAGCTGGTATAAGGGTCCTGAGAGATGTGGCTGCAAGACCCCCCAGGGGGGTCTTGCCTGGGCTGGGGGGGTTGGTCTTGTCCTGGAGGGGCTGGCAAGATTCCGCTCCCCCCACCCCGCTGCCCTGCAACAGGCCTCTGCTCCTCTAAGGCACTGGAGTATGGAGGCTGGGGCTGGGGAGTTAGCTGAGCGCTGCCTGCTGCCCATGGAGGTCACAGCGGAGGAAGGGAGAGACTGCTCTAATCAGTTTAACCCCCTTAATGAACAGCTAATTGGGGGCTGTCTAGACAGGAAGCTGGAGGAAGCCAGGAGGAGGAGAAAAAGGAGGAGGTGGTGTAAGAAGGGAAGGAGAGGAAGGGGGAGGAGGAGGGGGGAGGAAAAGACAGAATCCATCTCCCCAACAGGTTGTGAGCACCAGGAAAGCAGGGACAGGCACACACTAGAGGTTTGTGTGTTTGTGTTTGTGTGTGATGCCCACTGAGATGCCCATAGAAGGAAGCAAGTTTGTCATCATCTGAGGTAACCAACGGGAGCTCCAGGGGGACTGACCCCCTCTGGCATCCCCTTCTGGCTCTGTGATTCCCTATCACACACCAGAAGCTGTTACAGCCTTCCTTCTTGTCCTCCCCTCGCACGGCTATGTCATTCTCAGGGCAGGAAGGTCAGATCCAGCCCTAGGGACTCTCTCCAGTATTCCCTTCCTTTCAAAATGCTGTTTTTCTTTTTTGAGCATCCTGTATTGAAATCTGGGCTCTTTATTTCCAGCCTTTCTCTTTTTTTAATCAATAGACTGAAGGCTATAATTTTTCCTCTCAGGACTGCTTTGGCTACCCCAGCACAGGCTGTCTTTCAGCTCTAAATAGTATATACTTTATATGTAGACAACCTCTTCAATTACAGAGTTAATGAGAAGTGCTTTTGAGTTTCCAATCAGGAAATGACAGGGCAGAAGTTCACTGTCTCCCAATATCTACTTTATCCTTCTTTCTTAGTAACAGAACCATTAATTTGAGATGGCACATGATTGCCCCAAGTAAAACTACATTTCCCAGCATCCATCACACAGCCAGCTATGGCCTTAGGACTAACTCAGGGGCGCAGAGACAAGCACAGAGGTAAGTGAGTCTTCTGAGAATTATGTTTAAAGGGGGAGGACATGCCCATACTTGACCCTTCTTTCCTGATGGCTGGATATGATACATGATGGTTGGAGCTCTAGCAGTTACTCTGGACTGTGATGTAGGAATAAAAACCATATTCAGTGCTGCATAATGCAGGAGACTAAAACTCTCACATCACACTTGCCCAGGGCTGCTGATGGCTGGACATCTATTTGAGAGAGAAATATACTTCCTTTTGAGTTTTCTGTTATCTGCAATCAGACTTAAAGCTTACTGAATACAGATCTTTTTAGAGACAAACTTGAGAGAGATAGGGAACTCAAAGAGAAAGAACCACAGAGACACTCCAACTCATAAATTAGAGCCTAATAGAGAGAGGTCCCCCCGCATTAGGTCCCTGCTCTGGGAGCTCATAATGGAGAAGAGGGAGGACCCTTGGGACCTCAGATGTCACAACCAGCTGTGTTAGAGACTGATTCAAAGAGATGGGAATTTTATAAGGATGTGAACACCAAGAAACTCTCCTGTTTCCTGGTCACTTATCATATGCTAGATGGTTGCTTTATTCACATTCCAACTCTCCAAAAGACTGATCGTTCTCATCTTCCCACTTTGGAGATGAGGCAACTGAGGCTCAGAGAAGTTGAGTCACCTGTCCAAGGGTACATAGCCTACACAGGGAGCAAAAAGCAGGGCTGAGATTTGTACCCTTGTTCTCTGATGCCTGAACCTGCCTTCTTTTTCTTCCTTCCTTCTTTTCCTTCCTTCTTTTCGTCTTACTGAAGAATAGTTTATTTATAATGATTCAGGTGTACAGTAAAATGATTCAATTTCATATATATATATATATATATATATATCAGATTCTTTTCCATTTTAGTGAATCTGCCCTTTTAATTGTAATCTTAGATTACTTTTCAAGGATCCTATAGGTATGGGACTTTGTATAGGCAGATCTCTATAAGACATCAGGCTCTACATGAGTAGGGAAGAGGGAAAGAGGAAGAGGAGGAGGAGGAGGAGGGAAGAAAATAAATTCTAAAGGTATACTGCGTACTTATTATGTGCCAGGCCTGTTTTAGGAACACTAGATGTCATTAATTTACTTAATCCCACAACAACCCTATGGAGTGGGTAATGCAGGTATTAACACCCCCATTTTACAGATGAAGAAACTGAGGCACAGAGAGGTAGGGGGCACCAGGAAGCTGCTAAGGGTTGGGGGACTCAAGTGTCCACCGTTCATAACCACTAGGCTATATGATGGGTTGAACCCTTGCTAAGGGAAAAGACATCGAGTAGAGCCAAGCTTCTAAAATTGGGGGACAAGAGAATCTGAGGAATGCCAGGGACGTCCTTTCCACAGGCGACTCTGCAAACCACTTCCTTTATGGCTAGCGCTGGCTCACTAGAGAGCGGAATCTTAAGGTGAAAGAGACTCTCTCTCTCTCTCTCTTTTTTTTCCCCTGGCTGCGCCCCGCGGTTTGCGGGATCCAACCAGGGCCCTCTGCAGTGAAAGCGCCAAGTTCTAACCACTGGATCGCCAGGGAATTCCCATAAAGGGATTCTTTAGATGACAACGACGGTGGAGATGGAAACGCCAAAGAAGGGAAGCCTTTGGAGAATGCCCTTGGGGAGACGGTTAGTAAACAAAGAATCCGGAGGAGCCAGCGCTCAACAGAAAAGAGCCTCTATGAAACAGCTGACCCTACAGAACAGGAGCCTCAAGAGAGACATTCTGGAGAGGACCCTATGAAGACAAAAGAGCAACAAGAAAACCTGCCAGGAAAAGGATGCTATAAGAGAAGAGGCGGGGCTCCTATGGAACTGGAATCACCCATACCAAGATCCCGTGAAGATGGGAATCTTGGTGGGGGGGAGGAACTCCAGAAAGGACCCTAAGTGAGTAGGGAACCTATGTATCAGGACCCTCTAGCGGCGACGCTATATTGGAGGGTCTATGGGGAACCCCAAGAAGAAGCACCCTGCTGATCGAATCTATATTGAGTCAATTCTGTAGAGCAAGAAACTCACAGAGATAGCCTGTTTACAGGCAGAGGGCAAGAAAGCCGGCCAGAGTGGAACTAAAGAGCTCCGAGGATGCAAACCCGGAGTTGACGTCCAGCCGAATGCAGCCCGCGCGACTACAATCCCCAGGAGGCCCCATGGCTCCAGGCCGACTCCCGACTCCCTGGCGCCCGCGCAGTGCCTGTCGGAATACGTAGTCCCAGCCGCGGTAACCCCGACCGGAAAGCCGGCCAGCTCCCGCCGCCAGCCCCACCTCCTTCCATGTCCTCCGTCCAGTTGCGGCTGCTACTCGTGGGAGAACTGGGCGAGGTGTAGTAATCGCCTCCGGGGCTCGTGTCCACGTCTTCCTCCATCGAGCCGGATTTGTGCCGCTTGCTCCTAAAGGGCGAAGGAGGAAGCCAGCAGGGCGGTTACCACGGAGACGCAGGGGGCCCAGCGGGCGTCGCTACTTCCGGCCCTTGGCGGGGGCGGGGCGAGGAAGGTGCTATCGCGATACGTCACGCGAGCCGCGGACTTGCCCCTGACCCTCAAATAACACTTGTTATAACCAGCCCGTTACTTGAATGGGACACCTGGGACCAGAAACAGGGAGGGACTCGGCTGAGGTCCAAGCTAGAAAATTAGCAGAGTGGAGACTAAAGCCCTGAAGACCTGGCTCATCTCTGAGCTGCTGTAATCCCCAGAACCTGGTAGGATCATGATCCCATTTTACAGATGAGGAAACCGAGGCAAACATAATGTGACCGGCTCACGATCACATAGCATATCTCAGCAAGAACCATTGTCTGTGTTCTCATCGCAAGGGCTGGGCCTGTAGGACTCTAGGCTGCGGGAGTCTAGTGTGGGGTGTCAGGACTGGGGAAGAGTCACTTGGGTCCTGGATTTTGAAGGATAAATAAGAGTTTTCCAGGTGATATGTGGAAACAGGGAAACGAGTGAACCAGCTGGGGCTGGATGGAGGTGGGTGGGTGGGGTTATGGAATGCCCAGAGGTGGGGCCCCGGGGACATACCCGCTGGAGGATGTGCTGGGTAACGTTCTTCTCATGCCGGTGCTGGCTGGATTTAGGTCATATGCCAGGTGTCCCTGAAGCTCCCCCAGGGAGAAGTTGGGTCCTGTTCCAGTCACCACAGGTGCTGCAGAAGGCGACAGAGAGGAGGGTGAGGGAGGGAACAAGGTCCAGGACTGTGATTTGCCCTGGAGGGGTGGGGAGAGCCCTCTGGGGGCTGGCACTAGTTTGGCTGAAACTGGCCTATATTCTATGTATCAGAAGAACAAGGCCACTGAGAGACACCAAGGTCACACTGTGAGGTAGAGACATAGCCTGAGCCAGAGGCCAAGCTTCCCAGCATTCCCAGAGGCCAGGCTCTGCCAATCTGGATGGGGAGGGAGATGGTTAGGGTTAAGGTAGGGTGCTATGCTGTGCTCAGTCGCTCAGCTGTGTCTGACTCTTTGCAACCCCATGGACTATAGCCCACGAGTCTCCTCTGTCCATGGGATTCTCCAGGCCAGGATACTGGAGTGGGTTGCTGTTTCCTTCTCCAGGGGATGTTCCCAACCCAGGGATTGAACCCAGGTCTCCCACATTGCAGGTGGATTCTTTACCATCTGAGCCACCAGGGCTTCCTGAGGTGTGGACTTGAAATGGAGTGAGGTGTCTGGCGGGTGGGGGGGTCCCCAGCAGGTCCATAAGTAAGGCAAAAGGACAGGAGACAAAGCAGATTGGGGGACCCTCTGGGGTATCCTCCTCATGGGGTGAGGGAGGCCCCAGGAGGGGGATGTTGGGGTGGAAGTTCATTTAGCCCCTCCACCCAGCATCTAGAGTCCTTCCCGGGGAAATGCATGTCACCCTGACCTTGGGCTCTGGAAAGGGCCTGGATACTGCCCTTCCTAGGAACCTTAGTTTAGTGACAGGGGTGGCTGGAGAGGACGAGGGGGAGTGGGCCAGGGATATGGGTTCCTTCTTCCTCCCTCCCTGAGTCCCTTTCCTTCTGGGAGCCCCCATCCCAAAGCCACTTCTTCCTGACAGCTGCCCTCCTCCCCCAGCAGGTCCAGCACAGGGTGGGCGGGGACACTTACTCCGGGACACTTGGATGAGCTCAGTGACACTGAACACACCGGAGGTGACGAAGCTCTCCTGGAAGTCGGTGGTGTCTGGAAAAGAGACAGAGGACAGGGCTCAGCAGGCGTTTGGCTGAGCTAGGTCTGGTCCCCCACCTTCACACCTCTGGGCTGCCCGGACTCTGGGGTGTCTGACCAGGCATCCCCGTCTACCCCATCCTCCTTGACCGCAGGGGGAGGATGGCTGTTTCAACCCTTCCAGGCTGAGGAGGAACCCTCTGCTCTGATGCAGCTGGAGCAGATCTTCATTTCTGAGTCTCTCCTCCATCCTTCTCAGCGCAGCTGCAGCCAGCCTCCTGTCCTCCAGCCTCCCAGCCTTCCTCCAGGGTCTTTGTGGCATGGCAGGCTGCACACACGAGTGGAGGCCAGACCTGGGTTCACATCTCAGCTAGGGTGCCCACTTGGTGTGTGATTCTGGACAAGTCACTTTACCTCTTTGGTCTCAAAGTGGGGACCATACACCCTGTCACCTTGGGTGATTGTGAGATATGAATGCTACAACCCAAGAGGGACCAGCTCAGTCCTTTTGCCTCACTCATTGCCCCATGCAACACTGCAGTCTTTTAGCTTTCTGCTGCCAGGCTGGGAGCTCTGTGGCATCCCCAGTTCCTGGGCTAGAACCTAGAAGACAGCAGAGGCTCAAAACCATGGGCTGAATGGAGGGTCCACAGGCAGCAGTTAAAATCTCCAGTGTGCCTAGACCCATTCCTGCCTAATGTTAAAGGCAGTTTCACTGTGCCAGGGGCTGTCTGGACACTTGGACAGCCTCCTCTCCAGGATGGGGTGGTTTAGACACATTTCATGGATTTGGAAACTGAGGTTGGCCCCAAGAGGGCAAGAGCCTGACCCACCTAGACAGCTGGGAGGGAACAGGCCTGTCCTGCCCAGAGGCCGCCACAGGCAGGACGCATTCTCCCAGCAAGTGTTTCCCAGGCACTTCCTGTGTCTGCCTCCGAGCTGGACACTGGGGAAACCATGGGGAACAAGACTTAACAGGGGCCACTGCTCTCAGTCTGGAGTGGGCAAAGGAAGCCACATAAGAGCAGGAAGTCAAAAACCCTTGTACATGAATGTTCATAGCAGCATGATTTATAGTAGCTAAAATCAGAGAACACCGAAATGTCCATCAGTGATGATGGATAGACAGAATGTGGTCCCTCCACACATGGGAGCATCACTCAGCCATGAAGAGGAGAGAAGCCCTGACACTTGCCACCACGTGGACAGACCCTGAGAACACGATGCTCAGTGAGAGAAGCAGACACAGAAGGACACACAGGGTGTGATTCCACTGATGGGAAACGTCCAGAACAGGCTGATCCACAGACACTGAGAGTGGATGAGTAGTTACCTAAGGAAGGGGAGTGACTAATGGAGATGGGGTTGCTTTGGGAGTAATGAAAATGTTCTGGAACCAGACAGGTGATGTGGGCACAGTTTGGTGAATGTACTTAATACCACCGAATGGTACATTTTAATATGGTTAAAATGATACATTTTATGTGTGTTGTACCACAATTTAAAAAAACTTTTAAAGATCATTAAGTCAAACATGAGCTGTGTCAGGGGGTAGCAAGGTGGGGGAGCCTGATGCGGAGGGGACCTATTGTGCACAAAGGGCTCAGAGAAGGCGTTCCTGGGAGGGTGACATTCAACCAAGATGTCAGGGTAGGAGTGGAAAATAGAAATGTGAGTTTGAATTTGAGAAGTGTCCTGACAGCCCCTGGCACAGTGAAACTGCCTTGTGAGAAGTTGGCTGCCTTGATTAGAATGATCTTAAACTCAATGTTTTGCCACCTTCCTGTGGGCTACAATGTTCCTGGCAGTGGGGATGGCTTATGCAAAGGCCCTAGGGTTGGAACATAGGGCTTTTTTTTTTTTTTTTGGATGCACCACACAGCATGTGAGGATTCCCTGGTAGCTCAGCTGGTAAATAATCTGCCTGCAATGCAGGAGATCCTGGTTCGATCCCTGGGTTGGGAAGATCCCCTGGAGAAGGGACAGGCTACCCACTCCAGTATTCTTGGGCTTATCCCTAGTGGCTCAGCTGGTAAAGAATCCTCCTGCAATGTGGGAGACCTGGGTTCGATCCCTGGGTTGGAAAGATGCCCTGGAGAAGAGACTGGATACCCATTCCAGTATTCTGACCTGTATAGTCCATGGGGTCGCAGAGTCGGACGCGACTGAGTGACTTTCACTTTCACACGACATGCGGAAAATCCCTGACCAGGGATCGAACCCGCGTGCCCTGCAATGGGAGCGTGGAACACTGGACCATCAGGGAAGTCCAAGGCCCTGGGGTGGGGACACACTTGGTGAAGTGGAGACTGACAGGGCTGGAGTTGAAGGAGCCGGGAGAGCGGTCAGAGTAGAGGTGGCAGCTTTTGGTTTCGAGGTGGTGGTGGGAGCAGTTCTTGTCCAGGCCCCTAGGGGGCAGCACTAGCCGCAGAGAGCGCAGAGCAGCGCCGGGCTCCCCCGCTGTCCTTCACTTAAGACCCCCTCCTTGCTTATGAACTTTGTGTCCACCATTTATTGAGCAATTACTGCCTGCCCAGGCCCATGGTGGAAGGCTGGGGACCACAACATTCCCGAGGAGGACAGGGCGGTGGCTCCCAGTGTCCAGGGGAAGTGGCCATGGCCATTTCCTGCTGACCCAGCTGGCCAGCTGCTGTCAGCACGCCCCTCCACCCTCCCCCCACAGGGGTTTCCTGTTTGTGCAGCGCTCGCCCAGCTCCATCTCCAGGGGACTCCCTGGCGGGCGGGGAGGAAGTGACTTCCTCCACCAGACGCTGGAGCTCCCCATGGGACCCGGCCAAACGCCGCAGCCCCCGCCGCCTGCCTCGAACATCTGGCTTGGAGGGAGGCACGTGGGGATCACAGGAGGCCAAGGAGGACTCAGGTCACAGATGGCCAGTGAGATGTGGCCCGGGGGCCTGTGAGCCTCCTGGAACCGTCCAGCCTCCCTGTGCATGCCTGTGACGGACGTTCCATGGGGGATGCCCTCACCCACCGCTTGTTTCTTCCCTTCTCCCTTTTCATCTCCCCTCTGTCCTCGCTCCTGGTGTACTCTCTCTCTAGTTTCCCTTTTCCTCTGCGTTATCCCTCCTCTCCTTTTTTTTTTTTTTTTTTTCCTTTCTTTCTATAAATGTTTTTTGAGCATGTGCTGTGTACTGTGTCCTATTCTAGGTACTGAGGACAGGGCAGTGATCAAGACAAACACCTCTGCCCTTTAGGAGAGGACGTTCCACCAGGTGAGATAAGCAAACACATATGCAATCACTAAGCAACTAAGCAAATACATACGCAATCACTAACTTCCTCTAAAGGAACTAAAACAGAGGGCTGGGATTGAGAGTGGCCAGGTGGCTTGAGCTAAGGAGCTCAAAGAAGATCTCTCTGAGAGGGAGGCATTTGAGCTAAGACTTGGGTGATCTGAGAGAGACAGAGCAGTTTGCTGTTCAGACAGAGGGTACAGCCTGTGCAAAGGCCCTGGGTGGTGCCTGGCGTATTGGAGAAGTGAGGAGGCCCCCTGTGGCTGGACCAGAGTGAGCAAGGGGCAGAGAAGGAGGAGGTGGGGGACCGAGGGCATGGGTCAGGTTGTACAGGCCCTCCTGGTCTGCAGCAAGGACTTGAGCTTTTACCCTGAGGGATGTGGGTGGGGGAGGGGAAACACATGACTCAAGTGCTCACAGGAGCCCTCTGACCACTTCAGGGAAGACAGACTGTGACAGAGAGGAGCCAGGGGATAGAGTAGAAGCAGAGCCTCTGCAGCTTCCAAAACTTTTCTGTCCTTCAGGCGTCTGCTCCCAGCCCTGATGCAGGCAAATTCTCCTACTTCCCACCCCCCCACCCCAACACAGAACTGACTTGTCCTACTCATTCATTGAACATCCTGTGAGACTGTTGGGGGAGCACCTCTGAGCCCAAATGCTGGAGCTCAGGGTCATGGGTTCCAACCCCAGCTCCCTGGATGCCACTGGAAGGTTCATATGCCTCTTTGGGCCTCAGTCTCCTCCTCTGCAAAATAGAACAACAGCAGCACCTACTCCAGGAATGACTCAGGTACTCATATAGGACCACACAGAACCCACAAAGAGTGTTCCCAGAATTACTCCTAAATAAAAGATGGGAATGCAACCGTGTCCTCCACCCCGCCACCCCCAGACTCACCCAGTGTGATGGGCTTGCTGTCCTCCTGGTCGGAGCCCATCCCTGCTCGGGGACTGCCACTCTGCTCTGCATCTGCAAAGAAAGGGAGGGGGAATTGGTGACATCGCCATAGGGGTTCCCATCCCGAGGTGGGGAGGCATCAGCCCAGCACTAGCTGGGACCAGCACCATGGAGACCGCGGTCTGGAGCATGGCGTGGCCCCTTCCCTGGCTGCTGCCACAGAGGGTCGTGAATGTCTTCTGTCACTGGGGTCACGGGTGAGAACCCAAGTGCAGGAGCTGGCTCGGTCATAGGGAAGTGCTCTCTGAGCCTCAGTTTCCTCTTCTGTCAAGTAAGGATAGCTCATTTAATCCTGCCTCCACTGTATGAGGTGGGAACCCTCATGCCCATTTTACAGATGGGAAAACTGAGGGCCAGACAGGTGAGTCCTTGACCCCTCAGGATCCCTCCCATCTTCCTCTGCCTTCAGAGTCCCAGGAGCCCAGCCCATGGTCTTGGGTTGCTATTCAGGGTCCCCAGAGAGGGGGCTTAGGGGCACATTTCCACAGCTGTGATGTCCCCCTCCCCTGCCCAACTTGGGGGCTCCCTCCCACCCCGGCGCCCGCCCCCCCCATCTTATCTAAAAATAATCAGGCTCCTTGGCAGCCGGGTGAAGCAGACAGACGCTGAGCTCAGCGTTATTGGCTCCAGAGAACTAGATGGAGGGCGAGTCACGCCAGCCCCCTCTGCAGTCCCCACTCCCACCCTCCGCCCTGGGTTGGGGGCAGGGGAGCACATGGCTAAGCCCAGTCAGGCAGAACCCCTACAGCCCTATTCATTTATGTCTCAGGTCAAGGGCTAAGGTGGCGGGAAGCACCATCAAATGACGGAGAAAGAATCAGGCCCCTGCCACCTGCCACACTCCAAGCCCAGGGCTGTTTGCTGTGTGACCTCAGGCAAGTTCTTTACCTGCCCTGAGCCTCAGGCAAGTTGCTTACCTGCCCTCAGCCTCTTTCAGATGTGTGAAAGCATTTCACAGGCCCGACTGGGTTGCCAGGAGGTGGCAAGGGGATATTAACAGTATATATTAAGCACTTAGGGCATATTGAGTTCTATATACATGGTAACATCTATCCCATTATTATTATTATTGTTATTTTTAAGTCCCTAAGATGACTGTAGATATGGCGCTTTGTTATTCTCATTTCATACCTTCCCTTAAATCATTAAGAGCCACTTATCTGGCATTCTTAGTGTACTCATTTTTTGGACAAGGAAAACAGATGGTTAGAATGACGAAAAAGTGCCTACACTACACCCCTTGTTGTTATTTTTTTTATAGTAGTGTATCATTTTATTTCACTTACTTTTTAATCCCCCCCCCCCAACCAGGGGAGCGACTTGTGGGGATCTTAGTTACCTGGTCAGGGATCAAACACGTGGTCCTGGCAATGGAAGTGCAGAATCCTAACCACTGGCCCACCGGGGAAGCCTCCCTTGTTAATTTAATTCATACTCTGCACATGCATCCAGACGTGCAGCGCGGCCAACGTAAACTGCTTGGCATCTGCCGTTCGGTGCCTGAGTTCCCATCCCAGCTCTGGGAGCATCCAGGGCCACGTGGTCCTGGAGAGGTCACTTCCCCTCCTGGGCCTTGATTCACCCAGGGTTGCTGAGGATAATAGTAATGATGATGCTGCTCACAACAGTCACTGATCCCGCGCCATTTGCCTGGCATGGAACCTGCAGCTTTGTATACACTGTGCGCTGAGCACCTGCTGGTGGCCAAGACCGTGGATGCTGTAAAAAGCCTAGGAGTGCCCCACCACTAGCCCGCCTCAGCTTCCCATCCCCGACAGAAGCGCATGCAGGCAGCCCTCCTTGGCTTGGCTGAGCAGCCCCCCGTGTGGCCAGCTGGGCTGGGCAAGGCTGGACAGCAGCGAGGGGATTGTGCCTGGCTGGGCCCCACGCCCCGTGGCAACTCCCGGGCTGGGCAGCCAGCGGCCCCTTGGAGCCAGCCTTCCTGCTTGAATGGGCGCGTGGCTGGGCACGGGTGGCCACTGTTGGGAAGGGCCCAGCCTGGGCAGCCAGCCTTTGGGCTCCAGGCCTCGGGCACAGACCCTCTTCCAGAACCGGCGCCCATACGGACTCAGCAGGCAGCGGTGCCCGACTGGCACTCAGGCGCCTACCCAAGGAGGTAGGGGTATTTCTCAAGCACTGTCTGTGTGTTCCTGCTTTGGAACAAGGCAGCCGGGCCTGCGGGCCTCTCCCCGTGCCTCACTCCCCACACCTGTGAAACGGGCACCGTGACAGCATCTCCCTCAGAGCTGTAAGCACGTCGCCCACCAGAGTAGAGTTTCATTGCTGTTGTTACTGTCTGGCTGTTTCTGCCTTGGGTGCCTTTACTTCCTATGGACTGAAAGCCATGGCTCTAGCTATGGCTGGCTCTAGTCTGGCGCTCTTACCATCTGCTCTTGACCTCAGGCCGGCCACATCATGTGTCTGAGCCTCACCTTCCTCATCTGTAAAATGAGGATATGACACAACCCACCTCCCAGGGTTTGTCAGGACTCCATGTCAGCTAATAACAATTGTAAAATGTTGGTGCCAAACTGACATTCAATACATGGTAGGTTTGGAGGACCTAAATGAGAGTGTTTTTAATTTAAGTTTCTTTCCCTTTTTTTTCTTACGGAAAAAAAATTGGTTAAGGCCTTTCTTTCTTTTGACTGCACAGTATGCAGGGTCTTAGTTCCCTGACCATGGACCAAACCCACACTTCCCTGTAGGGGAAGCATGGAGTCTTAACCACTGGACCACCAGGGAAGTCCTTTTAATTTAGGTTTCTAATTGATCATTGGTAAAATTTAGAAATGGAATTGGTTTGGGGGTTTTAAGCTTGTTGGAGAAGGAAATGATAATTCATTCTAGTATTCTTGCCTGAGAAATCCCATGGACAGAGGAGCCTGGCGGGCTATAGTCCACGGGGTTGCAAAAGAGTCCAACATGACTTAGTGACTAAACAACAACAACAAAATTTCGTATCCTGCAACCTTGCTGAACTCACATATTAGTTCTAAGGCTGCACCCCCCCCTTTTTCTTTATGGATTGCTTGGGGTTATCTATGTAGACAACTGTATCACTTGCAAGCAGAGCTAATTTTATTTCTTCCTTCCCAGTCAGCATGCCTCTGATTTTTTTTCTTGCCTTATTGCACCGCCTAGGCCTTCTAAAACCCTGTCAACTACAAGTGGTGGGGGCAGGTGTCCTCGTCTTGCTTTTGATCTTAGAGGAAACCCATTCAGTCTCTCACCACTAAGAACTATGTTAGCTGTGGGTTTCTGCAAATTCCTTTACTGGGTTGAAGAAGCTCACTCCCCCCACTCTCTTTCTCTCTGTTTCCTATACTCTGGGGAGTTCTTTTTAAATTTAAGTAAGTATAGTTTCTAAATGATATGATGCTGTACTTGTATGACATCTTATTAAAAATTTTTTAAATTTGATTTTTAGATTGTTTTGAAATATACATTACATATACTCTACCATTTAACTGTTTCTAACTGTACAGGTTAGTGGTACTAAGTCAGTTCAGACTGTCTTGTGATCATTCCACCATCTATCTCCAGAACTTTCTTATCTTCTCAAACTAAAACTCCATTCCCATGAAACACTGACTCTCTGTCCCCTCCCCTAACCCCTGCCCCCACCATCTACTTATCGCTACAGATTTGACTTCTTCTGTGCCTGGCTTCTCTCACTGAGCATCACGTCCTCTGAGGTTCATCCACATTGTAGCAGGCGTCAGAACCTCCTTCCTTTCTATTATGCCATCTTATTTTTAATCATCCCTAAAAACCTCAAACTATTTCTCATCCACCTGCTGACCACTTGCCAGTTATTTGGTTTCTGGAAACTCCCAATCTTCTGCAGCTGTCCAGTGTGGGAGCCCCGAGCGACGTGTGACTTGAAATTTAAATTGGCTGAACGGAAATTAAATGCAATTTTCAGGACTTCAGCCGTGCCAGTTACCTTTCAATATTGGACAGACACACTTGGTCAGTGGTGACTGAATTGGCCAGCACTGAACACGCCATCATCACAGTTCTGTCAGGCTGAGCTGCTCTGGATATTTCCATGAAAAATCAGAAGAAGACAGAGCACAGATAATTCTCCCACCTCCTTTCTACTTAGAGACCCAGAGTGGATAACGCCTAAAGGCTGGCTAATGTCCGACATCCCAGTCCCCAAGCGGGCAGCTTTCATTTGTTGAGCTTTTACTGTGTTATGAGCTTCATGGCACTATCTGACTAAATCTACCCAGTTGATGAGGTTTGTAAACTGAGGCCCAGCTCAGAGAGTCTATATTTCAAAGTTGATGTCTATGCAAAGAAATTGCCTAGCACAGAGGGACTTGACTAGGGCATTCCTGCTCCCCAAAATGATGTCTAGGGACATCTGTGGTTGTCATGACTGGGGAAGGAGCTCCTGGCATTGAGGGGTTGGGCCAGGGATGCTGGCCTGGGAGAATCCCACCGAGAGTTGCCCAGCCTCCAATGTCTGGACTGGGGAGGGAGTCCAATCCAGATCCAGCCACTCTCAGTAGGAGCAAAAACTGGCTCTTGGGCTCTTATCTTTTTTTTTTTAAATAAAACACAGATATATAGACATAGATACAATATATAAATAGATATATAATATACCTGTAATATTAAAATCTCATGAGGTTCACTGATTAGGGAAAAAATCTGTCTAAAAAGGCTTTTTGTGTGTGTGCTAAGTCGCTTCAGTCTTGTCCAACTCTTTGCGACCCCGTGGACTGGTGCCTGCCAGGCTCCTCTGTCCACGGGATTCTCCAGGCAAGAATTCTCCAGGAGGGTTGCCATGCCCTCCTCCAGGGTATCTTCCCAAGCCAGGGATCAAACCCACAGGTTCTTTACCACTAGTGTCACCTGGGAAGCCAAAAAAGACTGTTTAGGGGGAGGTAATAATGAAAGAAAAGTGTCTTGTACAATTTTAAAGGGTTATCAAAAGAGAAATAATATGCAACAGAGACCAGAAGTGACCTACAAGGTCTAAAGCATTTACTTTATTC